ACAGAAGGGCCGTTTTGAAACAACGCAAGAGGAAGAAGAGTGTTCCGGAACAGAAGGGCCGTTTTGAAACAACGCAAGAGGAAGAAGAGTGTTCCGGAACAGAAGGGCCGTTTTGAAACAACGCAAGAGGAAGAAGAGTGTTCCGGAACAGAAGGGCCGTTTTGAAACAACGCAAGAGGAAGAAGAGTGTTCCGGAACAGAAGGGCCGTTTTGAAACAACGCAAGAGGAAGAAGAGTGTTCCGGAACAGAAGGGCCGTTTTGAAACAACGCAAGAGGAAGAAGAGTGTTCCGGAACAGAAGGGCCGTTTTGAAACAACGCAAGACGAAGAAGAGTGTTCCGGAACAGAACAACCGTTTTGAAACAACAGAAGAAGAAGAAGAGTGTTCCGAAACAGAACAACCGTTTTGAAACAACGCAAGAAGAAGAGTGTTCCGGAACAGAACAACCGTTTTGAAACAACGCAAGACGAAGAAGAGTGTTCCGGAACAGAACAACCGTTTTGAAACAACGAAAGACGAAGAAGAGTGTTCCGGAACAGAACAACCGTTTTGAAACAACGCAGGACGAAGAAGAGTGTTCCGGAACAGAAGGGCCGTTTTGAAACAACGCAAGAGGAAGAAGAGTGTTCCGGAACAGAAGGGCCGTTTTGAAACAACGCAAGACGAAGAAGAAGTAGAAGAAGAAGAAGAAGAAGAAGACTGTTGCGACACAGAACAACCTATTTGAAACAACAAGGGTGTTTCTCAATTCACGAGATACAGATATAGAAAGACACAGATATAGAAAGACACAGAAAAATACAGATATAGAAAGACAGAAAGATACAGATTAGAGTTGTCACGATACTAAACTTTTCAACTCGATACCGATACTAAGTAAAATATTCGATACTCAATGTCATTTTCATTACCACAAGGATAAAAACAACGACTCCAAAATTCAACAAAAATTTCTTCATTAATAAACAAAATACAATAAATAGATAAATAAATACAATAAACAATATTTTGAGGTTGTATGCTGTGCACAATATTAAGCAAGCTTGATAAAAAAAAAGTGTTCCTTCCTTGGCTATGCTTTACACACATAACAATGACACTAGCCAAACCAGTTATAAAACAAAAATAATTCTCAGCAGCTGCACCTGTTACAGAAAAAAGTCTGAAACCAAAAAGTGCACAGAATTATTCAATCACAAAGTGTTCAGAAGTGCATTTCCCTCTATCTGAGCATAAAATGAATGACTGTTTAGGTGCCACTGGTGGTAGCACTGTATCCATACTTTTGAAAATGAGTATTGTATCTGGACACAACTTTTCAGTATCGATACTTCTTTGAGTATCGATACTTTTGACAACCCTATCATCTTGTAATAAAACCAAAGCTTAAAGTGCAAGTTTGATTTTTACATCATTGTTAAAATAAAACTTGAAGGAATAAAGAAATGGTACAAGGACCTAGCATTCTGTGCCAGTGCATATCCTTTATCATTAAATTATTAAGGGTTATGTTTTTGGTGTAGGGACCACTGGCCCCCATCTAGAAACGCCTATGTCTAGCTGACATCAGCTGGGTGTCCATCCTGTGAGGTTTGGAGTTTCACCTTTTTTGTACATTTTATGAACATGGTGTTTGTTTTAGATAAACAGCATTGAACCGAGTGAACAGGCAGACATACAGGAGCACAACCTGCACTTTGTTGTAATATATATCAGAGCGTTTAAAACTGGGTTCTAAATAAAAGCAATGTTTTGTTGCTGAATAAAGGATTCACACCCTGCAGACACCAGTTATTACACGTTTCCCTCGTAGCATATCCACTCCAACAGAAAACCAGCTTATTTTGTTCATGCCAGGTGTAAAAAAGTCCTGTTTTTTGGTCAACGACAGCTGGTCATGGTTTAAACCCACTACACACCCAAGCATTTTCCTCTCTTCAGATATTAGCTTTGTCTTTCATGTCACATTTATATATTTGACATTAAACATTTATACGCCTAGAGAAACAGAACTATAATTGAAATGAAATGCAGTTTTCAAATTATCTAATTGAAGGGAGAAATTATGGAACCATCTTGAAAAATTTAATGAATGGAACCATCTTGAAAAATTTAATGAACCACAGATTTTTGGACATAACTTTGACTAATCTCATCTGTGCAGTAAGTGGCTTTAAGTAGAGCCTGCCTAACAACATGAAGTAGGCTTAAAGGACACATTATGGACTTGAGTCGTTCAGAAACGCAGCCATTAGCATCAATGAGTTTCACCATTCAAAGGGTTTTGGTCTCAGAAGCACCTTAAGAGATACAGAGATGCATCCAGGAGAGAGGGGTTTGAGGCCCCATGACTTGTTTAGGTCATGTAACATCATCTCACTTGGATTTTAGTCTAGACTTCAAAACAGCTGAGAACCATTCATAGATGGACTAGCTGGTGTGCTCTGAATTACTACCCTGCTTCACACTTATCTAAGCTCTTATAATTAAGGTTGATGAATAGAGACAGACATTCTCCTTTGGGTGTAGAGCAGAACAACTGTCCCAGACCATCACACTACCATCACTGTACTTTATTGCTGGTATCTTTTTCTAAAATGCTGTGTTGATCATCCGATATAGTTGGATACTTTCCTATGAACAGTGGCTCTCTTATTAAACGTCTCCTATGGCTCACATTCATACCCCGGCTTCATGTTTCACATAAGGTTAGTGTTTTCAGGTAATAATAATGACCAATACTTGCATACAAAAGTTTACAAAAATTTTTCATTTGATGAGCTGAAGGATTTCAGTGTGACCAAAAAAAAACTAAGGATGTAAAAGGATATGAATCTACATAGAGGTTTCTACTTAAAGCATCAATAGCAGAACATTCAAAATAAAGTCATTTCCTTATCAAACAACCTTCTATTGATGTTTGTGTTTATGAATGATTGAAAAGAATAAGAACTGGTGAGCAGCGTATAGGTTTGTAATTTGTTATGTAGAAAAAGCAGGACATCAACACATTCAGATATGAGGATTTTTTTTTATTTTTAGCATATTTTATATGAAAATAGTGTTGCAGACTTATACAACAGTTTTTGCTGTACAACTGACATGTAGTTTGATGGAAGAACACCAACAGAAAACATTTAAAATTGGAGCAACAGGAGTTAAAAAAAACAACAACAAAAAAACTGCCATGGATGAAGATGCAAACCCCCCAGCTGAACTTTAATGACAGGAAAAATAAAAAATAAAAAGCTTTATTTGTCTGGTCTAAACCAGTACAGCAGGAACATCCTGCAGACAAGGGTTTTTAACAAACAACAGTTCTTTGTATCCCAGTTTTCAGACAGATTCTTTGTGTTTTGTGCTTTTTTATATCCTCTCAAATAATTTCTATCTATCAGAGAGGTATATGGTACATCACTGAAGTAAAAAGGACTGCAGAGTTCAAAGAAAGCCGCTTAAACAAATCTATGTTTGAAAAAAAAAAGAAAATGTACCACAACTTACAAGAGTGTGAGATAAGTCATCAGATGCTACATAAAACAACAAAAACCCAAAGATATCTTACTTCTTATCAGTTAAAAATATCAAAACAGAGAGACCAACACCCAAAGATGAACAAATATACTGACAGAAAGGCCATTGTTCTATATGTTAAATCTGCATGTATACTGTAATTATTATAAATCTATATGCTTCATATAGATAAAACATGTTTGAACTAGTCTGTTACATAGTTTAAAAAAGGTGGAAAAAAACAAAACACTTAATCAGCACAACTTAAGACTCGCTGCCACTTACCAAGAGTTATGTACCGTATAGATCTGCAGCTTTCATCCCTTCAATGTATTTTTTTATATTTCAATAAGTGAATCATAAAACAAGTGTCTCTAAACCAAAGAAGAGTTGTAGACAGTTTATATAGTGATAACAAATGTATGGTGATATGACAGCATGTCTGTGAAAAATTCAGATTTCTTTTGCGTGTGTGAGAGACATTTGAGAAATTTTGATTTTAAACAAAAAAATACTATTTTTTTTTTTTTTTTTTTTACCAAATTCACAGGTCTCATTTAGTACAGAAAAAATGTTATCAGTGATAGATGGAAGTAAATAATTAAACATGATTTAAAAGGTAAAAACAGATATTTACATACCCTGTGTAAAAAGACAAGGGAAACACTTTTTTTCTCACAGTCTGATATTAAATAAGACTAAACTATAGCTGCTTAAAAGCATTTAGAATAAAAAATAATAATTTCTATCTGATAAATACCAGAATTGCGAAGAGTTTTGTATTACCATCATCTGGATACAGAAATCAAAATAACTTTGCCTTTTTAGCAACATGGAAAAGCCAGTTAGTGTCTTTGTAAGCTTTTAGTAAATGATAGATAACATTGTAGTTCTTTGTACCTCACCTGTGAATATATATTAAAAAAAACACCTAAACCATGATGCTGCCTTATGTGACATCATGAAAATATCAAACCAAATCTGTCAAGATTTCTGGAAACGAATTAATCATTCCATTGTTACGGCCCCTGGCCTTTTAAGACTGCAGGCTTTTCTTATGCAGGTTCAGCACGGACAGATCTTTGTTGGCTGCCTGAGGACTGCAGAGGAGCAGTGACATGATTGGATCAGCAGGAGAGTGTCAAGCCAATCAGAATGCTGATGAGGCCCACCTGCACCTTATAAAAGGCTCCTATAAAGCTTCAGTTTGAGGACAGCTAGTAGGAAGGTTTTGTTAAGCTGTTCCCCCATCTTTGTTTTTTTGAATCTGTTTTGGGAAGATAGAACTCTTTGCCCTAGCTTGATTATATTTTCCTTAACCTGCTTTAGGTGTACTTGTTCAAGCTAGTAGCTTGTGTTTGGGAGGTTTGGTGCTCCCTTTGTCTTTTCTTTTGGGTTGTTTTGTGTTAAAACTTAGTCTGACTGGTTTTGGGCATTTTGTAATTTTATTTGCTCTTGACCATTCTTGAATTTGTTTGCCCTTTTCTTTTTTTTGTTTTGTTTCAATTGGGTTAAGCTGTTTTGTGTTTTGGGTCTGTTTAACCCTTTTTTTTGTAATAAATCATTTTTACCTTCCCCCAAACTGCTCTGGACACATTATTTATGTTACCTCCCCAACACCCTTAGACCTTGGGGGCGTAACATCCATAAGTCTGGTTAAACCTGTGATTTGTCAGATGCCTGAAGACACCATCATGTAGGTCATTTTAAACCATTATACAGCATGAAACACTGTCTGTGTCCCAAAGGTGGTGATTTTGTACCAAATGAGGATATGAATCTAAGAACAAAGCTACAAGGCCTTGTGCAGATCCTGGTTCTGAATTTGTATCTAGTACACTGATGAAGGACTTCTAATAATATGTACTGAAAGGCCACGTAGAGAGGAATAAGCCATTGCTCTTTAACAAATATCAAAATTTAGATTAAAATTAGCTTTTTTTCCCTTTTAAATGGGAATATATTGTTTGATTTTTGTCTCAAATAGGGAAAAAGTTCAAGCATGGAACCAGAACTGTGTAGTAAGGAGGTCACGATTACTGCAGGAGGGACTGATGCACCTGGCAAAATATATTGCATTTAAACTAAAGAAAAGTTAAGTTAAAACTTTGGCACAAATAGCTCCCCAAAGAATATGCCTTAGTTACAAAGTAGCTTGTCACAGGTCTAAATCTATCCTGTTAACCAGGAAACCTACAGGCCTGGCTCCGTTGCCAAAGTTCTGATGAGAAGAACGAGTTTCTAACTCAGATAAAACGTTTGTGGAAGGAGACCTACAACATCCAATCATCTATTGTTTTTTTTACTGGATCAAATGGGGTAACAGAAGGAAACTCCCATTTTCTGGGATCCCAGTGCGACCACCGCTTAAAAGATATTTATATAGTCCCTTCAGCATAAAATGGTTCTGCGCAAGGTTTTCCTCCCAATGTTTTTGTCCCCCAGGACACATCCTGATCAGATGCCTGAGCTGATGGAGCAGCAGTGGCTCTACTTAGAGCTCCACTGGGAGTTCCTCTCTCTAGTCTTGTTCTTCTAATGATTCATACCTCATGACCACAGGTGAGAGTTCGAACATTGGCAGAACGTTACATGCTGCTTTTTGGTTTGTAGTGTTTGTGTTACCACAGAGGTAACCACAACCTTTCTCTTCATCTTTCACTACATCCTCCAATCACTTGTATACAAGCTTACAAAGACTAAGGGAATTTATGGCAAGTTTGAAAACAAATCAAATTATTTCGGTGATCCTGATAAAAGGGAAATTTTCATTTATGTAAAACAAAAAAAAGGTACCCGTCTTCTTTTTTACAGCGTATATAAATATCTAGTTCAAATAATAGATGGTTTTATTTTGTCTACACTGTAAAATATAATAAGCCTTAATGGTAAGAACGTTTTTTTTTTGTTTGTTTTGTCCACTTTGCTCAAATAATAAATGAATCTAATATAAACTTTCTGTCAGACATCTCCCACAGCATTATCAGTGCATCACAACACGTCAGTTAGACACAGTCCCTTTATAAACAACTTATTTAAATACAAGCCTCAACTGAACTGGTAGTTTTTAATTCCGCTTTTACCTCACAAATAAAAGCTCACCTGCTCTGCTGCCGTTTCTTTTCACCTCAATGCCCTTTGACTGATGATACAGATCAATTACCTACACTTCCTGCTGCGTTGCCTCAGATTTGGAGGTGAGAATGAGAATCAGCAACACCTCAGCACCCGTCCACTTGGAGTTGGTCCTGTCATCATCCTGCTGCTGTACAGTATGTGTTCATAGTCTGAGTGGGTGACAGGTTCTCCAGGGGTTTTTATTCATGAAAAAGGTGTTTCGTAGGATTAACTTATAGTTTAAGTCCAAGCCGAGAGGTTAAAGGTCAGGGAAGCGGCTTGGATCCTCTTTGTAGTCAGTGGGAATGGTAAAAATGGATGCATCAAACTCGTCGTAGCGAAACTCCTGGAATGTGACGGTGGCTGTGATGGTGGGAAAGACGGGGATGTCTGCAGGAAACCAATGAGAGAATCTTCAATTCACTGCAAATGCATTTCATAAAACAAAATGAAAACATTTCTTTCTTTTCCAGAACCGTAGCGACTTTCTGCTTACCGAGTTTGACAGGAAAGCCAGGGGGGAGCTTCATCTGAACAAACTCCCTGAGTTTATTAAAGTGCTTAAAGGGAGCGATCACCTCCAGGACATTCAGTAACCTGAAGGAGGGTGAAAGCAAAGATATTTAACTGGATCAACAAGGAATGAAAGTTAGAAATATACAGTATGGGTCAGATGTTTATAAAGATTCTACTTTAAGAATTTTGTGAAAAAAGAATCCAGTTCCTGCAACATGAAATACTACTACTAATTCTACATTGTCTATATATCTACAATAATTTAGTGTGTGTGGTGGAACAAGACTCCTTTGTAATATATTGATGTAGATTAACTTTTCATTGATTAACTTTTATAATTAAAGAACAATAAAGCAAATAGATTGTTAACAATGTCATATTTTTGCATGTATACAGGCTTCCACTGGCTATGAATTAGACAAAAAACTGAAAGAATAAGACTTTTAAAGTAATCTATCAATCATAAGATATACTATGTAATCAAATTAAAGATTAATCGCACTATTATAAAAAAGCAAAAAACAGCAAGACTACACTCTTAGTATCTAAGTGTAAAAAAAACCCAGAGAAATTAAAGTGTTATGTGTTGATAAACAAAGAATTCAGCTGTCAGATTGTGTTGCTGATGTTGAGATAACGTAAGCTTCATTAAATTATAGCAGTTTGTAATCAACATGGATGAAGTCTTTATTCCCAGACATAAGCAGGAAATCAAGGGAACATTTAGCTTTTGATTAAAGAGCCTTTGCAGCACAGTGATGCAGTTTTCTATATGCAGAGCTCTTCTAAGCACAAATTAAAGCATAAGGAAAACTCGCCCAATTTACGCCCCTCAGCTAATGTGAACGTGGGCCGTTTTCTCATCTCCCCTGCTCTATCTCTGCAGTAAAAATCTCTCCCCACAGCAAAGAGTGCTTCCTGATAGAGTTGTAGTAACATACTGTGTTAGATTCTAAATTAACACCATAATTAATATGTGAAAACCAATTAGCTGGATTAACATTTGAGTGAAAAAAATATATCATATATGTTACATGTTATCATGTAACATGTATTACGTAACATGGTTACTCCCAGAACATTAACATTAATACCCATACAAGCTGTATGTAAAATTCCCTCTCTGGTATGCTAAAAGTTTCTATTTTCATCAAACCAGTTTAAAATCACCTGTTTCTGGTGGGAAGCTTAAAATAAACACTTACGATTCGATGCCCAGAGGGAAGTCTTGACTCATGGCTATGGTGGCTTTAAAGTTTTTCTTGCTCTCTTTGCAGACCAGCTCCCTTCCTAAATGAGGTGCTCTAAGCATAAAGATACAACACACATGAAGAAATCATTACAGATTCTCTATGTATTGGTCATCATTGATTATTCTTTTACAAAGCAAGTTTTATCCTCCTACCTTCCATTGTCTGCGGTGATGTATTCCTCCCAGGAGATGGTGCTGGGTAAGGGAGGGGTTAAGGATTGCCTTCTTGTTGGCTAAGAGGAAGAAAAAAAATATCAGAGTTGGCATCAAAAAATAACATGACATCGATAACAGGCCATTCAAAATAATGTTAGCAATCCACTTGTATTTAAACTCTATTGTCCTTAAATTAAATGGAAAGAAAGACTCCTGTTTGACTAATAAAATACTGATGTATTCCAATCTTTATATAACAGTTAGGACTGCCGATTATTAAAGAGTTATGGCATTGAGAGACTCTTCTTTACTGCTGTGATCTGGTCCTCTTGGCTATGTATAACTCTATTTAAAAATGAGTGTATTGCCACATGTGAATACCTACATGTGTGTTTATTTTTATTTGTCAAAGACAATAGGAACGTATAGTGCTATGATTAAATGAATGTCACTTCTTTGCCCCTTTTAAGACATAAGCACTAAATTATACATATCAAAATTATACATGTCATCAATTACGCAGATTTGCATGTGTTACATCCTGGACAGGGCGGCCTTTTACAGCTGCTTTTTGCATCTCTGCTTCTGTCTCCTTGAACCCCAGGCAGCCTCAGCAGATGGCCGCTCACACTGAGCCTGGTTCTGCTGGTGGTTTCTTCCTGTTAAAAGGGAGTTTTTCCTCTCCACTGTCGCTACAAGCATGCTTAGTTTGAAGGATTGCCTTTGAGTCAATGAGTAAATGCAATCAACTGGTTTTCCTTAAGATAGAAAACTTTGAATCAATTTGACTGTATGATCTGGTGAACTGTAAAGTGCCTTGAGATGACATGGTTTGTGAATTGGTGCTACATAAATAAACTGAATTGAATTGAATTACATTGGTTATTTTCAACAGGAATGACTAAATTAAAGATATTTATTTATCTATTCATTCATCCATGATGATATCAGTTGAGATAAATCCACATTAACACATCTTCTTCCTTTTCTAAGCTGTTATTGCAATGCTTCAAAAACTCGCTGCAACCTTTAACATTTTTTCCTCTTTGTTCTGTCGAGCCTAAGCTTCTACTGTACTGCAACTCCATTTAACACCCAGAATGCAAAGCAGTAGTTTATAACTAGAAATAGCCAGCAAACACAATCCTTAAAACTATTAACAAAGCAGACACTCATTTCTGTAAAGATGATAGATTTGATTTATAAACTGTGCTGCTCAAAAACATTAAGGTTAAGTTTGGGCTTTGCTATAGGAGGCACTACAAAATCTAACTTTTTTTTTTTTTAAACCAATATTTAGGTATATAGCTTTGGTTCAAGCTAAGGGAGAATTTCATTTATTGGATTATGTAACATAAATAAAGGAGGAGAAAAATTTGGTCCACTTTTATTGATATTGTCAAATTTAGTCTGATCGAACCCCTGTGGAGACTTGAGACAGTAAGAGTTAGTTTATTTATTTAAAATTTTGAACTACCTATGAGCTGCTAAAAACATATGCTGTTCCCATGACTCAAAATAATCATTCTTGTTCACACAAGTAATCATCTGCAAATATTTTGTCAGGGATCCTGTGTTTATTGATAGTTTATGCACACCACGTTCTATAGAGAAACAGGGAGAAGTAGAACAGATGAGCAGACTTCAACATAAGCGCTGGAGTGCAGAAAGTGTTCAGCCTGACTGAATTACAGTTTAATCTCTTCGACAGACAATAAAAAGCACAGCTTTTTGTGTTTATACATGAGCTCAAGCTTCAAAGGATACTTTCTATAAATCATTTATATGGCAAAAAGTGCTTCCTACTTGTAGCTCTAAGACAGGATGATATTTCACAGGTAAGTGCTGCTCACATTTCTGACAGGTTCTGCACAAACTCATTCTTATTCCAGATATCTTTTAGACTCCTTCTGGCTTGCCTTGAAAATCGTAAATTAAAAAAGGTGGTAAAGCAGAATGGTTGTTAAAACAGAGCTATTATTGTAGCACCATTTAAAATGACTGTTGGAGGGGCAAGATTTTTAGTATCAAAAGCCTGAATTATGTATAATAATATAGTGTCTTGTATAGGTTTTAATCACTCCTCAACATTTCGTCACACAACAACCACAAACTTCACAGTGGATCATGGTTTTACAAAGTATTAATTTATGTCAGGCTGCATACAGTTTCACACCTTTCTGTTCTTTCTTATATCTCCATGCTTCACCCCTAAACCACTCAGGTCTGTGATCCCATTCTTTATATTTTGTCCATCTTACACAGGTGAACTGTGATTTGTCTGTGGTGGCCTTAAACCTACAGCAGTCTTCCTAAGACAACTGACTTAGTTGACCTTTATGAATACCTCTTAAAGATCTCAACCTTTTTTGCATTTTAGTTTTTTTGTTAAACTGAAATGCATTTTATGCTTTTTTTCTCAATGTATGTTTATGTCTATAAGCCTTCTGTGCATCATTTCAGTGAAGTGAGGAGATCTTGAAATGCATGACAGTGTTAAGTATATTGCTTCTGCAGATAGGTGAGTCTTAACTAGATCAGACCCCCCGTTTAGATATTTCAATATCCCCACAGACATTCGACCTACCAGAAAAAAACAGGCTAAAGGAAACTCCTAAAAAAACTAAGGAATTTCCTCCTCGAACTGAACCATCTTTCCAGAGGAAACCGGTTCCAGTACAGTCACCCCCAACGCCTGTTCTTCAGTTTCAGTTTATTTTAGGATTGGACAGCCTGTTCTCCCTGTCCCTGAACCAGATCTGGGACAAGTGCCATCCTGTTAATCCTAAAATTGACATTCTCCCAGAGTTAACTCCCTCTTGCTAATGTTCATGAAAATGTGATCGTTACCCAAGTTGATCTCTCTTTTGTAAGCAGTGGTAAGGATATAAGGGCAGAGCATTATGTGACAATGGCATGGTTGACAGGCTATCTGAAGACTCCAAGAGAAAGCTTGATGGCTTTTTATTTTTAAAAGTAATTAGAAAAAAAAAGAAAAAAAACTGTTAGCTTTACAGCTTTACAGGAGTTTTTTCCCCGCTGCCTGTTGAGTACCAGCCTGGGCATTCTGCTGTGCCGGCAAAGTGAAATAAAAGCTGTTCAGATCTAAAACTCCTGATGTATTGGTCTACTCTCACAGTTATTTTCCCCAAAATAATTAATGTCATCAAACAGTGGCATGCTTAGTTTAAAGGTCTTCTCTAAAATCGAAGCTGACCTTTTGAGGTCCACTGTTACCTTGCCTTTTCAGTTTCACAATTCTACAAAAGGAAAACAGATGGCAACAAGAGGATACAAAGCCTAACACAGAACACGAGAGACTGCACAACAACAAAAAATACAACAAAGCATTTAAAAGCCATTCAGTGGGTTTTGGGAAGCTTTGTTCTTCTTGGGAGGCTTTATGTTCAGTTCAGACAACAGCTTGCTAAGCAAACTCTGGAACATACTACAGTGAGGCAATGTGATGAGGGGAAAGGTCTGTGGATGAGGTTTACATCTGTCACCACAAGGTGGCTGCAGAGGGTCTATAATTCAGGCTAGATGACTGACAAACAGAACGCCATAGCATTATGCCAGGTACACTATATTGCCAAAAGTATTTGCTCACCCATCCAAATTATTGGAATCAGGTGTTCCAATCACTTCCATGGCCACAGGTGTATAAATTCAAGCACCTAGGCATGCAGACTGTTTTTACAAACATTTGTGAAAGAATGGGTCGCTCTCAGGAGCTCAGTGAATTCCAGCGTGGAACTGTGATAGGATGCCACCTGTGCAACAAATCCAGTCGTGAAATTTCCTCGCTCCTAAATATTCCACAGTCAACTGTCAGCTGTATTATAAGAAAATGGAAGTGTTTGGGAACGACAGCAACTCAGCCACGAAGTGGTAGGCCACGTAAACTGACGGAGCGGGGTCAGCGGATGCTGACGCGCATAGTGCGAAGAGGTCGCCAACTTTCTGCAGAGTCAATCACTACAGACCTCCAAACTTCATGTGGCCTTCAGATTAGCTCAAGAACAGTGCGCAGAGAGCTTCATGGAATGGGTTTCCATGGTCGAGCAGCTGCATCCAAGCCATACATCACCAAGTGCAATGCAAAGCGTCGGATGCGGTGGTGTAAAGCACGCCGCCACTGGACTCTAGAGCAGTGGAGACGCGTTCTCTGGAGTGACGAATCGCGCTTCTCCATCTGGCAATCTGATGGACGGGTCTGGGTTTGGCGGTTGCCAGGAGAACGGTACTTGTCTGACTGCATTGTGCCAAGTGTAAAGTTTGTTGGAGGGGGGATTATGGTGTGGGGTTGTTTTTCAGGAGCTGGGCTTGGCCCCTTAGTTCCAGTGAAAGGAACTCTGAATGCTTCAGCATCCCAAGACATTTTGGACAATTCCATGCTCCCAACTTTGTGGGAACAGTTTGGAGCTGGCCCCTTCCTCTTCCAACATGACTGTGCACCAGTGCACAAAGCAAGGTCCATAAAGACATGGATGACAGAGTCTGGTGTGGATGAACTTGACTGGCCTGCACAGAGTCCTGACCTCAACCCGATAGAACACCTTTGGGATGAATTAGAGCGGAGACTGAGAGCCAGGCCTTCTCGTCCAACATCAGTGTGCAACCTCACAAATGCGCTTCTGGAAGAATGGTCAAAAATTCCCATAAACACACTCCTAAACCTTGTGGACAGCCTTCCCAGAAGAGTTGAAGCTGTTCTAGCTGCAAAGGGTGGACCGACGTCATATTGAACCCTATGGATTAGGAACGGGATGTCACTTAAGCTCATATGTGAGTCAAGGCAGGTGAGCAAATACTTTTGGCAATATAGTGTATGTCTCAATAAGTCAGAAAACTTTTCAACCGTTTCCACAGGCTTTATCCCCAAGTACAAAATACAGTCAGGTATTGTGAGGTTTATCTAGTAGAGCCTTTGGTTCTAGCCCTAGGGTCAATTTGAAAATTGGGCTGGACAGTGTCATGATTGAACTCATTGTTATACTGAAGGTAAAAGTAAACAGATTACATATGAATAGGGTAATGTCACAACTTGTATTCAACTTTCTAAATTTTTTGAAAGTAATTATATATTTCAACGAGTCATGATTTCTTCTCCACAAAGACGCTAAACACTAAAAAACTAGGCATTGGATAAAGATACTGTGATATAAAGATAATTTGTAAAATGTTTCACCTAGCATTAACATTAACTGCTAAACCTGAGCTATCTCTATAGTTATGCTGCTATAGGCCTAGACTGCTGGAGGACATAGGGACACTTTTCCAACATTCTTCTTCATTCTATGTCTATTCTCTCACCCTGCAAAATTTGTTAGTCCAGTCTCTAACACTATGCTCTCTGATGTTTTATCATAGTAGCTTCATCTGGTCTGTTCCTGTTTGGCTGTTACTCCATCCTGGAGAGAAATATCAGCTCTACTGCTGCCACCAACACCTTTGTTTATAGATGTTGGCTTGATTTTCAGTGTAGCCCTGGATCTCTGACTGTGACTAACTGCATGTCCTCTCTTTCATCATCTGACATGGGAGCTTGTCTGCCTGGCTGTGGGTTTCCTGGACGTGGCCACCTGTGGAGCTAGTTGACAATTGCCTTTTGTATCTCTGCTTCTTTTTCTATCTCTGCTTCTGTCTCCTTGAACCGCAGTCGGCAGATGGCCGCTTACACTGATCCTGGTTCTGCTGGAGGTTTCTTCCTGTTAAAAGGGAGCTTTACCTCTCCACTGTCGCTACAAGCATGCTTAGAGTAAGGGATTGCCTTTGTGTCAATGAGTCGATGCACAAAACTGGTTTTCCATTTATAGAAAACTTTAAACCAATCTCACTGTATATCTGTGTCTCTGTAAAGTGATGACGTGTTGTGAATTGACACTATATAAATAAACTGAATTGAATCTCTAACTAATAATTTACAATGATAAAAATCACTTATTACAATTGAGATAAAAGAGCCAAACAACATGAAGCATCACCTCAAAGTTTTGTTCAATGAGGTTCCCTCCTTTGCTCAGACTTTCCATAATCGCTTTATTCCTCAAGATGTCCTCCTCACTCAAATGCTCTCGTCTCTTCCTGGACTCCAGCACCAGGCCGTTTACAGAGTAGAAATCTGCCAAGAAGTTTCCCACGCGCTCCTGGAGAGAGAAGAAACAGATCAGTCTGCCTGTTGTATCACCAATTTCCTCTCTAAACAGAAGTTGAAAGAACAAAAGATTAAGAAGAGAGAATGCAATAACCCCTATCTTATTCCCAGCCTCTGTACACTTTTGTACTCTCCCGTGTTATTTTTGGCATTCAGCCCATCACCTGAGGTCCTTTCCTGAATTTCTGAATATACGTTTGAAATAGAAATATTTATTCTAATATATGCCTGTTTAAAAAAACTTGTCAGGAATTGTTTGAATGTTCTTTTTGTTTCTTTTTCTTGGTGGGAGGGAGGTGGCAATCTTAGTTTAGGCAATCTTTCTAAAAACACGTTTTTGTCTCACAGTCAATATGTCTTTTTAGCATTTTTAGTCATATGAAAATTTAAAATAATGCTAAAAATAATAAGAGACCTAAGTCATTTGTCTTAAAAAAGACAAAACTGAAGAAAATACATTTCAAAGTGTACAACAAAATGTACTTTAACAAGACAATTTTTGCTAAAAAAAAAAAAATGAAGGACACCCCCTTTTAAAGTAGTTAAAATCCTACCGTAAGTTTGTCACATTATATAAACATGATTAGCACCATAGCAACATTTTAAAGGAGGATTGACCTGTACAAGTGGAAAAAGATAGCAGACAACTTTCATGGGAAATATCAAGAATGAAACCCTGCTATCTTAGAACAAAATAAAGACCAGATAAATGTTTGCAAGACAGTACAAAGACAAAGAGGGCTTCTGAGAAGAAAAAAAACATCAACGAGAAGCTGAGCTTAAAATGTAACATTTTGGAAACCAGGGCAGAGGACATGTTTGCCTACAGGTGCAGCAACTTTAACATGAATACATTTCTTTTTAACTGTGAAGCATGGAGGGGGATGTGTTATGGTTTGGGGATGTTAAGCTTCAACCTTTCATGGTTTTGGGGCTAGTCTAATCTGGCTACTAGTTGCAACAGATCTCACCTTAATAATTATTTTCCCAATTATGTTTCTATGACCGCTATTATAAAATTTTATACTTTACTGTATTTGCAGCTTTCCCTTGATATTAAACTTTTTATATTTAAAAAAACGGAAGCAATGGTGTTTGGTCCCAGAAACGTTTTTGAACACCCCCCCGTTGACTTGAGCCTTTTTTTACAGATTTTTTTAAAGCCTGTTTTCTCAGTGTTGGGTTTTAAGATGGACAGTGATTTTCAATTGTGGTTGTTTTAAATGGCTTTATAAATAGTTGAGTTAATCAACAATGCAATGTTTAAAAGCGCCAATGCACGTTATGTTTACAGCAGGAAATAGCTACTTGAGCTGCGGAGTCCAGTGCAGTTTCCCCAAGACAGGCATGACATCTCTCGCCTAAAAAAAACCAAACTGTAAACTGAAAATTTTTTCAATCTGTTTTCCACACCATGAGAGGAAACTTGAAATCTAGTTCCAGCAAGACAGAAAGGCAGGTGGCTCATACAACACCAACAGGAGTAGGGAGAGAACAGCACCATCCTATTCATAGAAATTAGGCTAACACCTCTAATCAGGACCTCAATTTATTGCTGATAAGTTTCATCTTTTGAGAGTGGACAAAATGTCAGACAGCGTTAAGAGAAAAATAGGGGGAGTGATTCAGTGTAACAGACGTTGAACTTCTAGCGGTTAGCAGGAGGCTATATTCGTGTGTCAAGAAGGGGAGCTTTGTGGCGTCAATGTAATAGCAGTATACATTACTTCCTCTGCTAATGTGGACGCAGCCTCTAATGCTCTGCTCACCGTCACCAGCAGGCTGCAGAAACAGCCTCATCTCCTCATCTCTGGAACTTCAACCCAATGCCTCACTATCTGCTATAGATCCATCTGCATCCAGCATGTCACCTGCTCAACCAGACAAAACTGGACTTGCTTTAGGAGAAAGACTTGACCATTACACTGTTCCATTCTTAGACCGTATGCAAATCTGTTGTGCACAGACAGCCTGCGATGCCATGTGTGGTGAAGGGGACTGTAGGAGGAAATGAGGCTATAATACTGACCTATTCATACAGTAACAGATTGTATAGACAGCAGCAGGCTTCTCAAATCCTGCACAGGTTAACTGTAAGGAGGAATAGAGCATGTCTTCAATCTGAGCCTCAAGCCTTCAGTGCTTTCAAACAGGACTTCAATGATAAATTTAGGTAGTCCGTCAACTGCCAGAATTTATACTGGTATATCTCACCAACTTGTCATGTAAGAAAACTTCAAACATCTCACTTAATTAACACTGGTAAATAGCTGCAAGATGCATCTATCAAGTTATTTTAATTGAAGGGGTTAGCACCTCAGATCATTGGGACGGTTGTTCTTTTTAAATGCCTAATATTTGTTTTTAGCTTCAATTTGAAAAGCAAAGGTTACATTTAGTTTGTTTCACTTTCATTTTTCCAAGACGAAAAAAAAGCAATATTCGACATTAATATGTGAGTTACTGCTAAAGAACTGATGATTTATTTTTGTGCTTTTCCATGTGACTGGATATAAAAAGACAAATGAAAGACATACAGTAAACTAACTGAGAATTAATGATCAGAGATTATTTATGGATATATGCAAAAGGATAAAAAACACTAAAACAAATAAAGGATCTGATTTAGCTGTTATGTGTATGTTTAAGTACAATTTAAGAAAACTTGGCCAGTTTTCTTTTATTGCTACTTGCTAAATTGCTAAAATAAAATCGGTTTAGCATCCCTTGAAGATTGATCAAATGTATGTTTTTCTGTATCCACAGGCAGGTAGATGACCTTAAAATCATGCTTGTAACAGCAGAGTCAGCTGGAAGCATAAAATCCTCCTTATAACAACACCAACCGTCTTATCCTCTCTGAAAAGCCATCCAGTCTGAGCCCTGGAGAAGGTGATGGATTTGGTGGAAAGCGTGGCGGAGTAAACATCACTGCTCATCAAAATGTCCACCTCCTCTTCGGTCTCCATCTCTGACTCCTAAGAAGACAGGAGAACAGAAAGGAGCACAAGTAGAAATGTGATAAAAGTCCGGTTTTAATCTACAGGCAGGAGTGAAAACACTTAATTTAGCTGTCTAAAAAAACAAGAGGAAACCTTGAACAATAATGATTCATTTCCCACATGGTGATATGTTTTTCAATTTTTATTTTTTATGTTATTTTCTGCTCACAGCTTATTAAAAAATAAACAAAATAATTTCAAAAAGTTTATTTGACACACAGATGTCCGTTTAGGGAACAGTATTCCATTCATATGCACTTGGTGCTTGGTTAACCTTTTACTTATGAATAATTGCAGTGTGGCTTTGGAGAGATCCGCCTGCAGCACTGCTGAAGTGTTCAACAAGCCCACATTACTTTAATAGCAGCTTTCTGCTCATCTGCTTTGTAAGCTCTTGTGTCTAGTGCCATCTTTCTCTTGAAAACATTTCATAGATACCATGAGAGGAATAGATCTAGCACATTTTCTGGGAATTGAAGCATAGTGCTACCAGAAGAGGTTTTGCAGCAGAATACAAAGAAACACCAAATCATCAGTGGCTGTGGAAACTTCACACAGGAATAAAATCAACTGGGATTCTACTATTTTAGTTCTTCCTCAGAGCTTTCAGAACCTGATTTCCAAATAGCATAAAATATACTTTAAAGGTGTTGTTCAAAGGCCAAAATCTTAAAAGATGATTCTGGACTTTGGATAAGAGTCCGATTGTTTTCATATTAAATCCTGGTATAACACTTCCCAGGCTGTTTCTTATTTAGGAAAAGCTTGAAACAATGACCGTAGCAGCTTGAGTCACTGATATGTCTGTGTGTGGTGGTTCATGGAGCTGTGACTATAGTCAATGGTCCTTTATAAATCTATACTAATCTGACTTTAAATTGGCTTTGCTACACAATCATCTTAAGGTTATTCTTGTTTCGGCACCTTTTTTTTACCAAACTTTTTCCTTACACTCAATGTTTCACTTAAATATGTGGAGACAGCACTCAGTGCTTTCTTTTGTGGCTTACTCTCCTTATTGGGGTGTTGAGGATAACCTGTTGGACACCTGTCAATCAAATTCTAACATATGCTTACATAGGCCATGATATATTCTAATTTTCAAAGAAAATCAACTTTGTGTTGTTTTTTTTTATTAACTATAAGCCCTGATATTCAAAATCAACAGGAATAAATAAGAAGCACGTCAGTATGTGTGTAATAAACTTGCATTCTAACTGATTGCGAAACAGCGAATACATGTAGCAGATACTACCAGTTTTAGTCCGCGAGGCAGACACCCTCTCTACTTTTAAGGATAGGCCTAAAACTTTCCTTTTTGATAACGCTTATAGCAAGAGAGGTTCAGGCTATCCTGAGCTATTGAGCTAAGATAGTTTGTAAAATGTTTCACCTAGCATTAACCTTAACTGCTAAACCTGAGCTATCTCTATAGTTATGCTGCTATAGGCTTAGACTTCTGGAGGACATAGGGTCCCCATTTCATCATTCTGCTTCACTATCTTTATTCTCCCACTCTGCAGTCAATATCAGCTATGCTGCAGCCATCAATGTCTTTGTTTATAGATGTTCGAGAGTGGCCTGTTTTTCAGTGTAGTCCTGTTTCTCTGACTTTGACTGGCTGGATGTGCTCTCTTCATCCTCTGACATGGGAGCTGGCTCGGTGCTCGTCTGCCTGGCTTTTTTTCCTATTCTTTCTATTATACAGTTGCTTTTCTGTCTCCTAGAACCCCAGTCTCTTCCTGTTAAAAGGGAGTTTTTTTTCTCTACAAGCATGCTTAGTGTGAGGGATTGCCTTTGAGTCAATGAGTCAATGCAATCAACTGGTTTTCCTTAGATAGAAAAGTTTGATTCAAATTGACTGTATGATCTGGTGAATTGTAAAGTGCTCTTAGATGACGTGTTGCGCATTGACTCTATATAAATAAACTGAATTGAAATGAATTGAATATTGGGGGCAGTAGATCTCACCCACCTCATGGTGTATCCGCTGGTAGACCTTCTGTTCATTGTCCAACACAACAAACGACTCGGAGGGAATAGCATTGCCATTGAAGATGAAACTGAGGTCTCCTCGCTGGCATTTCATGTCAGTGAAGTCAATCAGGGTTGTATCCAATCTGTACCCAATGGATTACATGTCAAGAAGCACAAAAGGGTTTAGTTTAAAGGATGGAGAGTTAAAATACATTTCATCATGACCCCCAAAGCACTAGCTTGCTAAACGTATTGGCCCATTTAAACCAGGAGGAAGTATGTTGGTGCAGAAATGTCGCATATTTACTCTGAGAGCTCAGAGATTGTGCATGATAATCACTGCGATGGGAGATCAAATACAAACTTCAGGCTGCTTATTTTGTGTGCTTGTTTGTCTGAGTAGGGTGTCACAGTCTGCAGCGACAGCAAAGAGAATAACTGATCTTAATGTGAAGAAAAGCGACATGTGGATAAGTAAGTAGGAAAAGCATGACGGAAAGCAGAATGCAAATGAACTCGGTGTGACAGTTTTTGGTTTCGCTCCTTTCACCCTCTCAGTTTCTCTCTGTTCCCTCTCTATATCTCTGGAATAACGAGAGGGCATTTTGAATATAAAATTAGACAGCCAGGAGCAGGTTCAGACGATAATGAGAAGCTTCACATCAAGGTTAGCTCTTAAGGGAAAAGCCCACAGATAGCAAAACTCAAACTCGCTCTACAAATGGGTTTATAGTATACTGAAGGTTATGGCAGTGAAGAGTAGAGGTTTATGTTTACACTCTGGTTAAAGGAGGGGCTCTTTTTAACTATATGTCTAAGAAGTGCAAGCTATACCCGAAAACATTTGGCTTCTGCCCAAAAGGCAGTGAGTGAATATGGATTCCCATTGACTGTGTTAGTGTGAGTCACAGTATGACGACTTTCTGCTGACACTTTAAGTGAGTGAGCTGAACAGCGCAGTAAATTCTACAGTAACTCTCCATTTATGAGGCCCTGCCTTAAACAGAAAGACAGAAGTTACAGATGTCTGCTCAGACACATTGCCATTCCCTTTGCTTCTAGGCAGGCTCTGACATCCCTCTGATTCACAAAACTGAGCACAACAGCAGAGCGAGAACATGGAAACAGAAGATGCTAAATTAATTGCATCATCTTTACACATTTATTTCAAGGGGGGGAAAAAACAGTGACCTTGCTACAAAAATATTACTAGTTGTGTTTTGTTTTTTTAAAAACAACTTACCTGATGTTTAGGCCTTGTTTATAAATCTTACATGCGTCCGATGGGAGGATTCTGGACAGCAAAGGCACTGCGACATAAAAAAAAAAGATGCAGAGAGCACAGGTAAAAAAAAACTGAACTGCATCTACATTCAGGAAGAGTATGAATAATTAATGACATCATGGACGTTAAAGCACATGTCTAGTGGGCTATACAGCCACCATAACAAGAAAGTCTACAGCTTATATCCGAATGCCCCAAATCAGTCAAGTTCTGCTGTCTATTACCGTATTTTCACGACCATAAGGCGCACTGTACTAAAAGGCGCACTCTCAGTTATGTGTCCCATTTCTGTATTTAACACACACATAAGGCGCACCAGACTATAGGGCGCGTTTTTTATATACAGGTACATGTCCTCTACTACCTTTAAATACCTCTACTGCGTATTTAAAAATACAGCGGGGGCAAAACTGAGCATGACTGTGCTTTATTCATGTATTTATTACAAAGTATTAATCAAACCTGGCAGCTGGCCGTGAGACAGACACATCGCAGATGACACAGCGCTGTGGTCACTCCTAAATTAACTTAAAATCCTGAAACCTGCCGACAGAATATGTTCGCTTTTATTACCGGTATCCTGGTGCCTGCAGTTTAAATTATTTAGATGAAAAACACCTGCCAGCCACCGCGTGAACGAAAGGATTTCTACTGTCGGCGCACCGCTGGTATGTGGGGGTCTGAGCGCCTCCGACAGAAATAGATAATCTGGATGAACTGACTGCAATTATGAAGTTTTCAGGTGGACTTTCTCACTTAAAAACATATTAAAACTACTTTATTCCCACTGATCACAGCAAATATAGCTGCAAGATTAAGATTATTCAGATGAAAAAACACCTGCCAGCCACCGCGGTGAAGAGGAGGAGACCCGCCCAGAGGCTGCTGTTGAATTAAGTTTTCAGGTAGAAAAATAAAGCGGGAGCAAAACTGAGTATGATTGTGCTTTATTCATGTATTTATTACAAAGTATTAATCAAACCCATCAAAGTCATCATCCTCTGTTTCTGAATTAAACAGCTGCGCTAAATCAGACATGCCAATTTCCCCTTCTTCGCTGTCAGAGTCACTTTCCGTGCAGCGCAGCTCCTCAGAAATAATGCCGGCTTTTGCAAAAGCTTGAAGAACAGAGCCAGCAGACACGTTAGTCCAAGCATCTACAATCCATCCGCTAACGGTGGCGTAACTTGCCCGGCGCTGCCTTCCACTTATCCTGAAACTGTGGTCTCTGTCGGCCATCCATCGCTCCCACGCCGCTCGCAGCCTTACTTTGAACGGGCGCTTCACACCGATGTTGGGCGGTTGAGGTTCCTTTGTCAGACCCCCCGGGATAACGGCGAGCACAGCGTTCATTGATTCACCTTTTTTTTCACATCGGCTGTGAGATGGGCACGCAGCGATGGTGATGCGTGGAAAAAAACACCTGGTCTCCTCACATAGGCTACACCTCCCTCAGCCACGCTTTCATCATCTCCTCATCTATCCAGCCTTTTTCATTTAATATCATATGTCATCAGAGCGCTGTGTCTGTCTCCCAGCCAGCTCCCAGATCAGCTTCTCTGATTGGTTGATGCGGCGCGTCCAGCAGCAAAACTTCAATTTTTCCATCTCGAGCAGCAGCAGCGCGTTGGCGGTGCGTCAGATGCTTAAACGATCCCGACGTGCTGCACCTGCGGCTCAAAACGCGCTGCAGGACCTTTTGCTGCACCTATACGCGCGTCAACCATTGACTTTGCATGTAAACTCGCTGCTTCTGCTGCACCTGCTGGGTCCGGTTCACACCGATGTTGAGCGGTTGAACAGCGAGCACAGCGTTAATTTGTTTCCCCATGTTTTTCACATCAGCTGTGAGATGGGCACGCATGGAGTCACAGATTAATGGTGATGAGTGGAAAAAAAACACCTGGTCTCTTTACATTCAACCACTCTTTTATCATCTCCTCAATGAGGTGGTCTCAAAAGTCGCAGTTACAACACACATAGGGCGCACCGCACCATAGGGCGCACCGCACATTTTGAGGGGAAAAAAAGACGTTTAAGTGCGCCTTATAGTCGTGAAAATACGGTACACATGAATATTATCTATTCTTTCAAATTGTGTAAATCATTTACAAACCCACATGGGTCACTTATAGGACGCTCTTTGGCCAAAGAGAGTGAATGCTGCTACGGTACACTGGTTCAGTTTGGGTCATTGTTCCTTCCAGTTATACTTTATCCAACTTTTATCATAGATTCAGCATTAATAATCCTACAAATCACATAGTCTGTGAATAACAACCGTCTCTTCCCAGAAAACCACTTTACAGGAAGGCGTTGTCAGCTCATGTCCAGCTTGAGAAACAGTGTTCAGTACATGACCTGTGAGCAGTCTCCACACAGCTCTGATTAAGTCACTGATAGCAGATACACTGTTTATTCAACATGTTCTGGTCTTTGGCATTAGCTGATTCCACTGTTAAATCATTCTACATAAAAAATGAATCTGTAAGGTCAAGCAAAAGCCCTTGAATTATGACATACAACAACTACAAACCTCTCTGTATTTAAAACAACACAAAGCATTTAGTGTTTAGTGGCTCTATACTTTGCAGAACCATCTTTTTCTAACAATTAAAGCTGCATGTCTTTGAGAGTATGTTCCCTTTTATTTTTCCATATCTATAGACTGAGTCTTTTTTTCTTTTCTTTGCTGTTTTATATGTTGTGCAAATCATGTCAAGTTCATACAGATTGGATGTAGAAGATATGTGAACAAGCAATCTAACATCTTGTTACAGAATTGGATATACAGGATATGCTTTTAAAACATTTAAGTATTTCACCCTATCCATCCCAGCATAGCTCTGGCTGCAGGTTTAGTGATGCTGTGGTACTAGAAGATAATTCTCCACCCTGGTCTTAAGTCTTTTGCAGCTGCTAACAGTTTTTTTTTTTTTAAGGATTTCTCTGCATTTAGCTCCCTCCATTATCCCATCAACTGAACCTGCCCCTGCGGAAGAAAAGCATCCACAAAGTATATTTCTTCTACCACCGTGTCAATAGTGAAGAGGATTCTTTTTTTAATAGGTTTTAGTTTTTCAGCAAACAAAGAGTGTAGGTTTGACCAAACAGTTCAGTTTTGGTATCCTTTCAGAGCACCTTCTTCTATTAAGGTTTGTCACCTAAAAGGTTTTTGCAATCAGAATGACAAGATTCTACCATAAAGGCCAGAATTGGAGAGTTCGTGACTAAGAAGAATGGTATTGAACTCACCCCAACTCTGGAAGTCCCAGTGAAGCTCCAGGTAAAAATCTCCAAGCTGCAGAGATATATGCTATGTATTAGACAGGACAAAATGTAAAACAAAAATCATCATTATAGAACTGGTTTCAGTTTCAGTTAAGAACTGGAACTGTAATGCAGAGGAAATGTTTGTAACGGTGAAATAAACAGTGTAATGACCAGGGACTATTTAAAGCTTCATATTAATAACTGTTGAGTAAATGACTGGGTACTTACAGGATCTTGATATAAGGCTGACTCATAACTAACTCAGTTAATCTGTCATAAAGTGAGCAGAGGATTGCAAACTTCCGAGTCTTAATCATCTCTGGGATGCAATGATATGAAAAAAATTACCTTTTTTCTCCATCAATGTAGGCTTTTATTATGTCTAATCAGAGGTGGGTAGGATTTAGTTACATTTTACTTAGGTATAGTGAAAAAAAATATGTACTCATTATACTAATGTTACTACTTCTACTTGATTAATATTTTTGAAGCTACTCTAACTTGACTCTAGCATACCTTATGACCAAATGATGATAAAACGTCTATAATAAAACATAAGACAAAATAAAATATTCATGGAACTAGAATATGCATTCTGTGAAGGTTTGTTTGAAAATAAAAACCTAAGGTTTCAATAAGGCCACCTTTCTGTTTCAAAATCTTTTTCTGCTTTTTTTGTATGGTCTGGTTAATTCTCATCATGAATGCAATGGTTTCAGTCGCTATAGGCCTATAACCAATGTAATCAATAAAAATAGAGGCTTAAAATGAATCTGTATAATGTGTTGTACACGGTGAACTGACTTGCTGAAATACTAAATAATAGTATTCTAATTTACTAAATGGCTCTGTAGTTAAAATGGTTGTTAACATACACTGTAAGAAACAAACAAGTTTTTGTCTTGACCAGTAAGATGGCATTGGTACTTCTTCAATGATTTATATTTACTTTGTACCAGTATAATGAGAAATTGATTAGATATGATACTTTTACACATAAAGAAGACATCATCTTCAAATTAACTCAGAGTGGATAACTAGTCAAGATATTAAGATCAGAATTATGGGCCTCCCCAAGTCAGGGGTGTCATATTTATTTGCCCAAACAATTATGCACAGGTATAAACTAGATGACAATGGATCATCATACCACTTGGGAACGAGATGGGTTCTGTGTTCTTGTTGAACATGTTTCTGTCCAATATGGATGGAAAGAAATATCATTTATTTGTTTTATTTATTTTGGTCACTTTTCTGGTCACTTTAGTTTATTCTTTGTCAGTGTTTAATAACATAACTCAGGTCTCTTAAGTTATTTTTCTTTAAAACAATTCTGTTATGGTTAAAAAAGTTGGTTAAATAAAGATTTAATTGGAAGTCTGTCTTGTGTTCTTTATTAAAATTAAATCATTTAGCAATATCATAAAAAGTCCAGACAGAGCTGCACATAAAATATGGTTTAAAATCTTTTCAATAATTATCGATATCGATCAATATGCATTTTTTTTTTTATCGATAAGCTTTTTTTCTATATCGCCCAGCCCTACATGCACCCCTATTTTATACATCACATTTTAGTATATTTTAGAAAATTCAGAGAGCTGTACCAGAGAAAGGGAATATAATAGGAAAACACACAGCATATGTAAACATCTTTTGTCTACATGTTTGCTTATGTCCATAGGTCTGAAAATCTTTTTGTTTTTATACATAGACAGAAAAAAAAACTTATGAATCACAATAACAGAAAAACAGCAAGTTACTGAGTAGAAAACATTTTATCGTCAAAAAAGAGCTACATCTTAGGTCGGCAGAATAACACTATTAGTACATACCTCTTTAAGGGCTTTCAGCAGTTTAGGCCTCTTGTCCTCTACACTCTCCCTGGACTGCTGCTTCAGTTTCCTCAGCAATGCTGTGACTGTGGGAGAGGAAGGAGACAAAAAGAAGTATTAACTATTAAGAAGCTTTTTCTTCCGTTACATAAAGCACTTCCTGCTTTTTAAACTTTTTAAATCACTGAGAAAGGAGCACTAGACCAGACAGACATGCAATCAGCTCCATAAACAGAGAGCTCTTGACTTGAATATTCTGCTTTTATTGGATCCAAGTCCCACTTTAAAATCTCTAAGCAGACCATCTATCCACTCTACTATGCTGATTTGCAGAAGGAATAGTCTCAAAAGTAAGAAACTTCTCTCTCGTCTTTGAAAAACATCATTTGAAATTGTCAGCAGTCTTACTTTTGTAGGATTTGCTTTATGATAAAACCTGCTTATACACACATTTAATACGTATTTGTCATCATTCTGTAGATACCTCCTTCCCTGTTATACCTATAAAGAAAGTAGTTTCCAGAAATGTACTTTACCATTACATATTAGTATTTTTCTCTTGGTGGTTTGTTTATTTTGATGAATAATTGATAAAAATGCCTAAATCTCACATAAAGTTTTATGTATTGACTCAGTAAGGGTAATGGGTGGTGCTCTTTAAGTTTTCACATTAAGGGATTGCAGATGACAATATTTCCCAACAGTTGAATAAAACTTTCTTGTAAGCAACACAAATGTAAGGGAACCTTCCTTCAATAAGCTTACTGATGGACGATGGAGAATAGCTATAAGCAATAAGTGAGTAAGTGCTCATTTTCAGAGTTTTTGGAGCTTCTAATGCAGTAAAACTCTGGCTAAATAACTTCTCAGCGTGCAAAGTGTTAACTCATTCAGGGCTAAAACAATTAATCGGATTAGTCGTGATTAATCAATTATTGAAATAATCGTCAACAAATTTAGTAACCGATTAATCGTTAACTGGAGTTCAGAGGCTGTAAAATATGCCTTTAGGTGACAGATCAACCAACCCTTGAGCAACAATTAAACCAAAATTGTAAAGAAAAAATATATAAACATTTTTTTCGCAATATAGTGGACGTATATTGGGCCTATGAGGGCACATACCTAAACTAGGAGGTTTTTACTATGAGACTCAATTGACAGTTTCTATTGAGCTAATGACAGGGTTTGTAATTAATCAGTTGAAATTAATAATATTTTAACCAAAAACCATATAATTAATAAAATAAACCACATTTTTAAATTCAAAAATCTTTTTTCCTCCTCAGTATCGAAGAAATAATTATTTAAGCACAACAGCACATATATTGTTTTCATCCAGCTAGTAAGATTATTCAACTATCAGACTGGTTAAAAGTTGTAATACGTTTGCTTTTTGAAATTTGATAGAATTTCTATTAAAAACTACTTCATAGTTAAATAACAACAGTCCATTAACAACATTCATAGCACAATTCCTTATACATATTATGGTACAAAAATACAAATAATAACAATGCTTACAATATTGCCAGAAAACAGAAGATAACGTTCCATTTCTAATACTGCCAGAACTATAACAGTTCAGCTCTGCATTGACTTTATGAGCTTAAAAATTGCTATTCCACGTACAGCATTAAGTGCAATGACAACATTTTGGTCATTGAGGCTACTTTTTATCATTAAGCCAGTTACACACACTAATATTCCATGTTCTTGGTCCAAGTAAGGACACCTCCCTGCAGACCTTGTATTCGGTTTGAGCCAATTTGGTTTTTAAACTTTTATATCCCCGGTGGAACATCTACTGTGATGCGGCTTGTGCATCCGATTTACAAGAAACAACGAGTACAAAGGTTCCGAATGGGATTTTAGTATGTATGTATGAAAATTCCGTATGGAACGTATGGAAATGTTTCTAATTCATTCATTGAAATTAACATGTTAAAATCCCAGCCCTAGTTTTTACTGAAATATGAACGAAATGTGGTTAGCACCCAGGTAAAATACAGAACAATACATTTCTCTTTTCCTAACAGATGAGCCAGCTTTCTACAATCAGACAGGACACCTGATTCATCTAAGCAATCATGGTACTGAAACAAAAAACTCCAGGATGTTCAAAGGCAACAACCTCTCAGCTATGAGCCTTACTGGTAATAAGCTTTGCCTTTGACTTCTATACGTTGACCAAAGACAGAGGCACAAAGACACAAACTTTTAACTATAACCAGTCATATTTTCAAGCATTCAGTTCTATTAAACTAAGTCGGGAAAAGTAGGGATTTAGATCTGACTGCTGGGTGTTTATGTAAGAGGAACTTTCTATTCAGAGGAGAGTACAGCCGTCTGTTGCTCATGACACAGTTTTGGTTCTTTGATGAAGCCAGGAGGGAGTGAATGCCCATATGACCGTACCAGTTACTGCTCTGGAAACACTTAAAAATATATTTCTTATTTTGTCTGTGACAACAAAAGCGTCCTACTTTCAAATCAAACTAAATAATTGTGGACACATTTGGGATCATCATAACCCTGACTACCAAGGAGGCTCCAATGTGCTGGTAGTGAGTCAATGTTACAAACAGGTTGTTGATATTGTTTCAGAGGCTCTCCATGTGGCAGTACAGATCCAAGGGTTTAGTCCGGTCAAATTGGACAACAGGGCATTCATCACCACAGGTAGACATATATGAAGACACACTTGCCAACCTGACACAACCAAAGGATGTTTGTGAACTGGTCTAATGAATGATGATAAGAACTGGACGGAGTTCCTCTTTATCCTCAGCACCTCTCACTTTGGCAAGAAGAGGGGAGCAATCTCACCATCTAGCCATGGACCATGCAGACAGCAAAGGCTGTTAAACCAAGCCACACCACTACAACATGCTACCAAATTAACTCTTCTTCCTGAAGGCAGAATTAGGTGCCTGACCATAGGGTTTCACTGCTGTATTCCAACGGAAAAATACATTTTCTATCACTGCTAAAAGTGAATAAGTCCTTGGAACTAATAAAATTACTTCTTTTGGAAGGTCTTAAAATATCTTCATTGGTAAGTCTATACCTGATTTATTGCCAATATGATAATAAAACTGGCCAGGGGTAGCAATCTTTTTAGCTAAACCATAACGTTGGCTGTTGCAACAGCTACAGCCCCCTTAGTTTGTTTAAAGAAATATATGTAAAACATCTGCAGTTATTTGAACTCTGGACGAACTGAAACCAAACTCTAATGGTTAAGCCAGTTTTGCTTGTAACACCCATTCAATTTTTTGGATAGACTAATATGAACTGATTATACACATTACAGACACTCTGTCCAACACTATAAATATTCACAACTTAATTAAAAAAATACTTCAATTTTATTTTCATTGGATCTACATGATTCTTATAGCAGCTGAAGCTCTTCACATATGAAAAGAATATGGATTAGTTTTAACTATATATCTCTGTTTACTTGTACAGCACACATTTAAATGTTACTGATTTTCTTTTGTAATTCACCCAAACTGATAGACATCGACTAGTGTTACATTAGTGTGTGTAGAGATAATACACCAGTGTCACAAAACCAATTGAACGCAGCATGCCCTACTTCATTCATGCCATTTCTGCATGCTGGTTTCCCTAAATTAACAGTCTGGATTCATATCACATCCCACCCGAAAAAAGATGCTGGCATGAAACAGAGAGGCATCAAGCCTCCCCACAGTGCTGTAAGAAAAGAGCTATTCAGGGTAAGCCACTTTGAAAAACATTGCTGGAGTTTTTTAATTTGCTTGAGCACTAGTTTTTCTACTTCAGTTTTTCAGTAGACAGTTCTGCTGTAGCCTGGCCGTTTATTTCCTCTGCTGAAAGCATTACAGCCAAACACTACCATGGAAAAAAGACCCTCCCTGTCATATAACTCTAAACATGAGTGAGACAGCCTTTATAACCACTTCTTTAATGACAACACAGCTGTGTGAGTGTAACAGAAGTGGATAGAAATAGCTCTTGCCGGCAAAACACACAACAGGTACTTTTGAGTCCCATTTTGCTTCATAGCTAAACCCAAAAGAAACTCAGGGAGAGAAAAGTGTCCAGTGACTCAAACATGTAGGATTGTATATTCTGTAAAAATATCAATATCAATATACTGTTATTGCAGCTATATGTGAGCTATATGAATGAACCCCAATAGAAACAGAGAACTAGCTGAAATGAATCCAAGTCAAATTCAAGCCAGAATGTTTGGCTGTCGGTGAAACAAATAAAAGCTCCAGTGTTTCAACTTCCATTATGAATCCATGAAAACACCAAGTTGGATCACTCAGGTTAAATGTTATGCTGAGCTACTGTATATCAGGCTAACGTTCAAAAATATTAGCCTGTGCTGAATGGAACAAAATGCTTACGTTTATTAGCAACTTTCTGGTATATTGTTATGAGGATAGCCATGCCAACAGCACACCCTGGAATACAGCGACAAAGGGAGCCACAGATCAACCAAAATCTCTCCACAAAAGTAACACCAGGCATTTTACAGAGGTATGGTAGCAATCAGTGTGTCAAAATAATAATGAATAAAAATTTCTAAAACCAGCACCACTTGGTAGTAATTTAGTTATTTTTTATAACAAAGCTATCTTTACTGGCAGCAATACAATAGTATGAGCCTAAAAACGAATTGCCTATGAGGAGTGAGAGAAGTTTCTAACGAATGCCCTTTGATCAGCATACAGACTAGGAGCGCTTTGAGGAATGTACCCTCTTTCTGATGAACAAAAGAAGCGGGCCACCATAATGGCCTTCCTGAGAGGCAGCAGTTTGGAGGGATCTGCAGAGACCTTTGCTGATTTGCATTACTTTTCATTGAGGTTTTCACACAGGAAAAAATACCCATCTGAGAGAAGCCACAGGATGACTGTAAACAAGCTAGTTACAAGAACAGTATATAGCCGCAAATAACCTGTACCAAGGCTTCACAGTTCTGCCTAGTATCTTGTCTGTTTCAGATACTTACTCATCTGTCGGTCTCCGTAACTAATGGCCTCTGCAAGGGGGCTCCATCCCTGAGCGTTCTTCACCTTCACGGGTGCATTGTGAGCCAGCAGCAAGTGGGCACACTCTGCAAAAGGGACAACAAGCAAAATAAATAATCATAAATACCAAAAAAACATCAAACATCACAAACAAACTGCGCACACAAAAAATTATCTGTCCTGCACAAACCTACACAAACACAAGCCTTGAAAAATCAATTTTTTATGTATGTTTCAGTACTAGTCAGTATTTGACTCAACATTAAAACCTCTTTAAAAACTCTTGCAAAACTTGCATATTATTACGCACATCTTTGCACATCTTGAATCTACAAGTCTCCTTCTATTCTTCACTATTACTCTATTTTTATCCCCATGCAACTACTTTAACGTGGATTTCTGCAGATCCTCAATAGCTACCAGGAACTTTGTCAGGTCAGTCGATTTAGAACAACGGTCATGTCTTGGTACGACTTTTAATAGGGCTGTGCAACGTATGGCAAATTGATCAATAGAGCAGTACTACATGCAATGTAGACATTGTGAAGATATGTTTTGGCTGATAAAAAATGTTTAAGAAGTTAAGTAGGTGGGAAAGAGGCAGATTCATTAAGAAATTTCAACTCACTATGTCCATAAGTGCGTTAAAGCCCACCCTTCCTAAAGACGCAGGGAGAATATGGTTGCAATACATGTTGTATTGCAATTACAAAAGTGGAAAAAAAACAGCAGGGTGAAAATCTTAAACTTTTTTTTTACGACATAAGATGGTAAAAAACGAGGCTATCTATTAAGATTTGTAGCCCATACCAGAACATTACATTGGATGTAGCTTATTGGCACATGAGTTTGTAATTAACTAAGCAATGCAAGCTTTTCGTATTATGACAAAGACAGAACATTTATTTATTAGTTTCATGCAGACAAACACGTGTCCCATGGATTACTGTTGTGTCCATCTCCTCATGACCTTGGCAGCAGGACTTTAAACTTTTCAGTTTTGGAAATAAAAATGTAATAAACTTGTGTCACCCTCTAAATACCTTAGGTTATGCGCTTCTGAATTGCATAGATCAAGCTAATAACATCTATTTTTTTATTAAATCTCTTTCTATAAAGAATGTTTGTTTCGCCTCCAAAATGAAAAAATCCTGGCAATGATGTCAGATGGAGAGAGGCGGCTGCTCCTGATAGCGAGAAGCGTATAACTAGGGGAGAAAAATCACAATTGCTTATTGGTCAACTGCAAACAAGCCTTCTAGTTTGACTGACAGTCGCGTGTTTGCTATTAACCCAAATCAGAAAGACATCGACTCTACATCAGACCTATACCTATACTGAGATTAAATTATATACAGGGTGATAAGGGTTACAAGATAGATGACTTCTGAATAATATTGCTTACATTTGATGTTATTCTGGTCTATCAGAGATAAGGGGTCTGATCACATGTGCATGCCATACTTTTTAGGTTTTGTAACAGGAAGGCAACACTTGGTTATGATCAAACCCCAGATCCCACTGAAATACACTGGAGTTTGTTGAAAAATGTGACGAAATTTGAACAAAAACTTTGAAATCTGATGTTGCTATGGTTACTCACAGATCATTCAGTTTTATGTTCGGCTTTATCAGTTTCTTAAAAAGGGTATACGGGTTCCTACTTGTGTTGGTTACTGTAAATCTGCCGATTGTCAACACATCACATCATCTCTGATGTATTCCAATGCATGTGATGTCAGACACCTTCAAAATGTCTAATTAAATTACAGAATTAAGTGAGAATTTTGAAAAAGACTCAGATTCTATAGACAGATTGTGTAGGATTGAGATAACTGCTAATCTTTTAATGAGCGATGTAATTTGATTAGAACAACTGATAAATGGCCAGACAGCTCCAGCATACAAATCCCTCCGCTGTCTGGGTGGCCAGTCAAAAGGAAGTCTGTTGTTCAGACTAAGCAGTCATTTATTATAATACTGGCAGCTGTACAGCTCTGTCTCTCAACCATTGGCTGAACAGTTACAGTACAACGGACACTGCAGTAAACAAATGCAAACCGAAACCTAAATGCTTTGGAGTTGTAAAGGAAGGCTCTATGGTAACATATTAAGCTTTCTCTCCCCAACTCTTTCCTGAGAAGAGATCACTCACAAAAAAAAACACTTTATATAGCACTTTATAAGGTTTATGTATTAAAATACTATGAGATATGACAACAGATTTTTACAGATATTGTAATGGTACTCAGACCAGGGAAATGTCTTGGGTTACAGATGGCAGCGCTTTCCACCAGACTCGTTTCTTCTAAAAGTCGGCTCAGAATAACAGTTAAAGAAGCATTTTATAGTGTCACCACCTGCCACATCATTACATGTCACATCATTACATCATACAACCAATGAGGAGACATCAATGGTTCCAGTCATATCAAGATATTACAATGTTCTTAGATCAAGGACAACCTGATTGCACAGTGACAGAGCTATCTGTTACGAAAAATCCACTCTGTATGCTCCTATTTCATTCCCAAATCATTGTTATGTACATAATGAAGATTATTACTACTTATCCTGACAGAAGAGCTGTCCTGATGAGGTTAACTGCTTGGGAAAACATTAGTCTTGACACTTAACAGACAGGTAATGTTAGGGTTTAACAAGGAAATACTTAAATAATAAAAACAATCCAAACCGTGCAAGAACACCAATTTGTAATGGAGGCTAGTACGCCCTGAAGGCTTCTGCACCTGTAAGCTACCCTTCCAGTTCTTTTCCTGGGGGCAATCTACTTAGTTTAACCACTTTCAAGTTAAGGATTGAAAAATCTATATAATAAATGTGTTGCATCAGGTGGATGCTTAACTGTGCATGTCAGTTCCTGACAAAACGAAACATGGTTTTAAAGAGTCAAATAAGTAACTAGAGAGAGAGAGAGAAAAAACAACAGGATTGTGTGGCAGCAAAAAGAGTGGTGGGGCTACTTTACTGTTAGCGCCAGAAGATTAAGACGAAAGATAGGAATGTTAAAAAGAGTTCCCAACCTGCTCCATTTGGTTCTGTCCTTTATTTTAGTCAAATCCCTGGCTTTACTTAAACATGGAGGTGTTTTTTTTTCACAAGAAAAACAGCTGCAGAATGCATCAGAAACTACTCGCACCAGGGAATTTTGCAGCAGAACCCTGGGCTTCTGCCTCGGCCCACCTGTAACAGGGCTAAGCTGATAACTGAGGCTGATGATGAGAAAATGCAGGCGAGCAGACTCACAGATGCATCCTCCCATTCTGATGTAAGCCTTAGGCCCCCTGAAGCCTATGACCTCTACATCACAATGTTAAATCAGGTGGTTGTGTAATAACAACAGCATTTAGCAGATATTCAGAACCATGGAAAGAGCAGCCGAGCCATATGTCCTTCTGCTCTGGGATTAGGGGATTTTTAAGCAGCCTCGCTGGCTCTTTGGATAGAGTGGTGCTACAACAACGCATCACAAAACATTGAAAAAGATTTCCTCTGCTTATAGTTTTCTTTTTGCTGCAATAACTTCAACCAATTTCAAAACTTGAATGAAATAAATATATTTCTTTAACTTTGAAATACTGTATTGCAGCCATGATGATCTCTCTGTGAAGTTTATGTTGCAGATACTGCAGTTATAACAATCACATATTTACCTTTAGCTGTTTTTAAAACTGCAGTAACTTGTTAACTAGAAAGGACAAGATCACATGTAAACATACTTTGAAAGATGAGAAGATATGAAAAACTGATGCTTAGAGTAAAGACAAGGCAGAGGCAGCTCCTGTTTCAAGTATTCTTTCAGCCTCTGATATTTGTAGACCTGTTTTTAGCTTCTAATGATCACTTTGAGTTGCCGTTGCTTTTCTAATAATGTTTAATGATTGTGGATGAAGAAATAAATGGATAAAAACAAAGCCCCATCCTAACAAATACTTCATTTACCCCTTTATGCAGATTTTGTAACAGAATCGAGCAGTAGAATAAGAAAGAAGGGCACAATTTTCATCCAAAACCTATTCAACAATCCAAATGACAACATCAGCCATCCACCCTGCATTACATTCATCTTTGTCAACTGTAATTTTGGCACCTCTATCACTTTGCGTCCCAGCCTATACGGATGTAGCTTCAGACCACTCATATGCATAACTGTCACTGCTGATAGGGTACAAAAATAAACACCTGCGCATGCGGTGCTACACACAAAGAGCAGCCACACCCTGACAGTGATGTCATGCTGTAGCTGAAGCCTGGGCTGCCTGAGCTTCCCTGGAGGACAGGGCAACTCAGGCAAGAAAACAAGCAACCTCATTAGCGCAATCAATGCCGTGGCCTATCCAACACCACACTGTCACATGACTGGCTGAGTTACCAGAAGGGTAGTGGCGGGCTCTGATGCCGGTGACAAGAATTGACCTTTGTGAATGTGAAATCAATTGAAACCGATGCTGCAGACACTAAACAAATGGGAAAGTGCTCTACGAGTAACTATAAGCCTCATATAACAAAGCTCAGCAGCGAAAGATAAAGGTTAAAATTTTCTCTCCAATTTAAGTAGCACAAATGAGACTGGCTGCTGCTCTCAGTCCCCTTTTAGTCAGCTAAAAAAAGTATCACTAAAAAGGTTGAAACAAGGGTTTAATATGCCTTAAGATGTGCTACATATGTACTATAAACTCAAAAATATGCTACTAGTCAAAATTTTGAACACATATTCTCATTCAATGGTTTGTCTTTATTTTTATTGCTACACATTAATTAAAGAATATGATTTTAAAGATACAGAATACAAAGGATAAGAATTATTTCAATTAAGTTGCTGTTTGCTAAATAATTCTACATACTTTTGCATCATAGCTTCGATGTCTTTGAAAAATATAACTAATATAAGAAATAATTAAAATTTCAAAAAAGGCATTAGATGGCACAGATGTGTCCAAACTTTCTTAAAGGTTGTGTTAAGAGTGTCATTTTTTATATGCTATTTATTTGTATTTTTAAATTTGATCTCATATTTTGAAAGGGCAGAATTTGCAGATAACTCTCTGTCTGACTACATATAAGTTTTTACATTAAATCAGCTGTCAACAGCCAACAATTACTCATATTTGAGTCATTTTGGCTGACTACTTTTACCTCTTCTTTAAGAAAAAGTGAAGTGCACACTTAAATAAAATTGTTGGTTACTCTACCCACCTCTGTCTAAAATTAATCATTCTGAGTTTTAAAAACTCCTCTCAACTTTAACTATTATTAATGAGGCTAACTGCCTTAGAGTAAAAGACTTTAGCTCTTTATTGCATCTGGGAGGTTTTTGTAGTAAAGCGTTATTGAAATGTTCAGTTTCTCAAAATGCGACTCATGTTCTCTGTTTCATCCACTTATAGATATACAAGGCTCAAACATATCCAGACACAAGTGCCTGTTGGCAAGCTTAACTTTCAGCTTCAGCAGGTTTGTTTCAAACTTTACTCAGAGTGAAATGGGACTACAGGATTAGTCCAGCGGTTTAAATCATTTTTCAATTTGCTAGAGTGGTAACTTTGTTAGAGAATCTATTGCAAAGCAACCACCATTAAAGTTTTTGTTTCTCGATTGCTTTCGGGCTTCCAGCCAATAGATAAGGAACATCTATTTTTTTTTAAATAATCAACAATCCTACTCAGGAAAGGTTAAGTAAGATTAGGGGATTAAGTAAAAATTTAACTGGTTACAACAACAACAAAAATTATCACTGCATTTGTATTTCTCCTAACTATAAAATGAATACCAAAACCCAGTGAATTGCTTCAAGGCTCTGACATTAAACCCTACACGTCTATTTTACAATGTTTGATGTTGTGCGTGACTTTTTTCCTCAGAAATGCAACTGGCTTTACGACAGCATAAATACTAGCTGGTTTCAGAACTTTTAAACCTCTCAGTACACTGTAAACTAATTAACGTGGCAGCTAAATACCTTAAGCTTGTCTATCAAAGGCCATTTCTGCAGGTTGTGCTACCAAGGCATGCGTAGGAGTATACTATAAAGTTTTATTTTCTAGCAGAGTTTGGAGATATGGATTCAACAAGTCATCCCTATGGAATGTGTTTGTTTTGCCCAGCCACTGAAATAGGTGATTCCAATCTGCACAGCAAATTCATTTGTGCAGAATAGACTCACCTGGTTCGGTGGCTGGGCAGCGCCATCAAATGGCCTAGAGATTACTTGTTCACTCCACATCTCCCACCTCTATTTTCTAGTGAATCACATTTATCATTGCATTGTCAGCCAATCTGCATGAGTAGAGAAGTAGGAATAGGTAGAGTGAACAGCCCAATCTGGCAGGGGGAGGATTCAGTCCAGACAGATGTTTCTCCTTGTCTCTCCTTTTCCGTTACCTCAACCAAAATAGATAATAATCCTGAGCTATTTTTTTTATATTTATGCTGCTATAGGCTTGGACTGTTGGATGACATAGAGACCACTTTTCCTCCTTCTGCTTCATTCTATTTCTATTCCCTGGAATGTGTTCTTGCTGCTATTTCTTGTCATAGTAGCTTTATCTGGTCTGCTTCTGTTTAACTGTGACTCTATCCTGGATTTGAAAAGCAGCTGGACGGCTGCCAGTAACACCTTAGTTAATAGATGTTGGAGTTGAGCCTGTTTTTTCCAGTGTAGTTTTGTTTCTTTTACTGTTACTAACTATATGTGCTCTCTTTCACACTTTCACCACAGGTGCCAAATGTGGAGCTAGTTAACAGTTACCTTTTTTTAATATTTGTTTCTTTTTGTATGTCTGCTTAGCAATGAGTCTATTTCTGCTAGAGATTTCTTCCTGTTAAGAGGAAGTTTTTTTCTCTTCCCATCTCCACATACATGCTCAGTGTAAGGGATTGCTGTGGAGTCGACAACAAAATGCAACGAAACTCACTGCCGCAAGTTCGCCCATTTCTTGCAAGTTAATGACTCAATGCAATCAGCTGGTATTCCTTGACAGAAACTTTAACCATTTCACTATTTCTTTGAAGTCCCTTGCGAGGACATACCTTTCAAGTTAGCGCTATAAAATGTAACTAAATTGAATCCAATTTAAATGCATTTAAAGGCTGCTTGGGAGCATTTTTTCGGTAGAAAGCTATATCGAGTGTCATTAATTAATGCTTTGCATGTTGATGACTTATTTGCCCAACTACTTAGACTTCAACTTTTAATGCTACAATCTATTTTTCAGTGACAGAGATGATACATCTAAAGGAGGATGGCGGGGAACTCATGTTTTACTCATAATAGATACAATTTTCCACAATAGTATTGGAAATATATGCTATCTTGACATGTTGTGGCATTATCATCCCACTAAAAGTAAAAAGTGATTTCCCCTTTTGGTTTTATATGTTTTCACTCAGCAAATGTTTGCTTTAGATATATGAATGCTTGCTTACAAACCTATTTCAGACAAAACATCACAAATTAAAGAAACCAGCTGTAAATTCAGAGTATAATAATTCTCGGTTTAGGACCATCCTTCAAATGCATGATGAGAAACCCTAACAATAGAGAGAAAGACAAAAACAAAGCAACACCAAAATCCATTCACATATGCATATCACCTTCTGAAATTCATAAATGTCTGATGGAAGTAGACTAAAAATCAACTGAAACACATAACAGAAACAAAGTAAAACACAAACAGATATCATGCCTACTTACGGACATCACCCTTCACAAAGATACGAGCCATCAGTCAGAAACAAGAGCACACTATATGGTAGGGACTCTTTCAAAGGCTGCTTACCTTTGTGTCCCATCATGACAGCGAGGTGTAATGGTGTGTTTCCTGCAGAAGAGAGAAAACAGAGTTTCTATAGTAACTTTAATAGAAACAGGAAAGAGAGCAGTGACAAGATTTTCTTTAAAGCAGTTACAGTTTGGGTGATTTAACCATTTTGAACACACTACCTTCAAGTCTTGAAGTTAATAATGAGCGCCCACTATGAGTTATCTCATTATAACAGACTTTATCTATGGCTATTAACCACAACAAAAACAAATCTCCATTTATCTGGCAGTGACATGGCTTGTTAATGGAACATATATTATATATTCATAGTGAGAGCAACATCAGATACTCTTTTTAGTTGTGTAAAAGAAATACATTGGGAAGAAAACCTAGTTTTTCTTCCCAATGTATTTTAAAAGCGGAAGGAAATAGAGGTGATGAGAACAGGGAGCACCATCAAAAACTAAAAGTCCTGATATGATGTAAGAATAAAAGCTGCAACTCAGGTAACATGTGGTAAATTATTAGAGGAGAGAGCAGTTCTATGTAGGAAAGGCACACTAGCTGCAGCTCCCAGTTTCAGAGAACAATACAGTTTTCCTATAACCAGATGGTTGTGTCCTGCTGTGCAGACCCTTTGGTTACACTTTGTTAAATTGAGATATTATTTAGCGTTTTTTCGTACATGCATTTAAAGAGAAGAAAGATAGATTTTGAAAATGGACCCATTCCATAGGGTTACATTTTCTAAGATGGTTTACAAGAAGCCAGAAGGATTTTCTACGTGAGGGAAACCACAAGCAACATAACAAGGCATAGGCCAGTTACCAGTAGTCCTTAAAGGTTTCTTTCAAAAGTATTTTCATCATACTGTATGGTTTAACTTATTTTCCTTATGCATTAGAAAATGTAGAGTACTGCTGTCACTATGCAAACACTATCTTCTAAAACCTGTGACCAAACACAAAATATTGAAGATCTATTTCCATGATCTAGAAAAATATATTTACCTAAAAATGAACTTGCATAATACTTTTTAAAGAAATAGTTATGACAGGGTTAGCTTTAAAGTATGGAATGGAGGCAGGAGAAGTAATTAAAAGGCTTTTTCATTATTCTTTTATTCAAATATGCTATTACATAACAGGAATACAGCAACTAATTTCAGGGATCTCTCTGAAAAGCAGAACTAATATGAGGATCAAGATTCAAAAAGCAGCTAAGCCAGACCAACGTACAACAACAAATTTTTTTTAACTAGTTTAGGATCAGGTTTAACCACTACGCCTTCCTTTCTGACACCCTGTTGAATTAAAGCCATGGAAGCACATTCCTGTGTTGACATTTAGTACAAGTAGGGGCCATATACTGTGTTGGCATGTAATTCAGACAAGACAATCTTATACCGTGGTTAGTTCAGTTTGAGCTAGAGAAGTCTGTTTGGAAACCATGCCGTTATCTAATTGGACTTTGCTCTAAAGAGTAACTGTAATTAACCTGTAATTCCAAAAGTTTTGTAAAATGACAGCATATCGTCAATAAACTTACATACCAGGTGACTAATTATGACTAATGAGATGCTTATTACCCTGCTGGGAAGTGATACGCTACTGCCTGGAACAGAGCGCCCTTTTCACATTGTCTGCTGTTACACCTTCAGTAGACAGATATGGGAAAGATTTTTGCTGAATGACAGAGTATTCTTGACTTTCTTTTTCAGATTCTCACAATTTATGTTTTGAGGAACTTTGGACATAATAGAGAAAACAGTAAGTGAAGGGTATTTGATACAGATAGTAGCTATGAACCTGATAGAAATTATGAAATTAAAATATAACAATTTAGTTAAAAGGTCATATTAGAGTAAAATAAAAGGAATCTTGTGCGTATATAGCAATTTTAAACACTTTTTTCACACTAAATGGATAATCTGAAGCTTCTCTCACTGAAAAAGTATGCATGATGATGAACATGTTATAAAGAGAAAATATTTCTTAAAAATGTAGCACCTTTCATCGACATAAATCAGTGTTTGAAAAGGACTACAAACGTGTTCTATAATATCTACATTATGCAACAGTAACAAATCATATGATACTTTTAATTCATTGACTACATCTGAACATCTTCTGCTGTCTCAGGGGTGTTTTGTAAGCAAATGAAAAACTCTCTAAATGTTTGGCTAAGATAATTACATTCTGTAACAACTTATTTTATTTTCTTCTGTGTGAATGTTTGACTGAAGCTGTGGACTGAAATTAAATTCCCGTTGAACTGCTACATTTGATTTTACTGTTATAATTTCACACATATTAAAAAAGGTTTTTCTAGTAGAACAGAGCAAAAAGAGAGTGCTGGCGTCCATGTAGATCATTACTATTTTGGTCAGAAATAGAGCATAAATTAGATGGTCTACCAATAAAAAAAGGCTTTTCGAGTCAGCATATGACATATTTCCCTTTTAGAGAAATTAGGGCTGTGTGTTCACCTTCCTTGTTTTTTTAACCTGTTTACTACACAACTGTAGATTACAGACCTGGAAGGGAGGAAATCCTGACCATAACTCATAAAAACAGCTTTAATGAAGATAAATATGTTCTCTAAACTAGATTAAAGCACATAAGAGCACATTAAGCTGGTTGGTGTTGAAGTTGGTTTTGATGCATTTAATAAATAAGAGAATGTGTCACATTTTTAGTATTTATCTAGCTTTGAAGTGAGCTATTAAAAACCTGTTCCATCCCCAGCCTGGATAATTGGTGGATAGCAAGTTTATAACAGGGTGTTTGATTTAAACTAGTGTTTTGTCAGGAGTTATTCGGGCCTTGCGTGAAAAAGCCTCGCCTACTTTTAAGGATGATGGAGACTAATGGTATATTACAAAAAATAAAGATGATTTACTGGAGCTTGAAAATGTTTAATTTTGGGGGGAACTCGTGAATCCCACCCTATAAGCAGTAAGTGAACTCACCATGGACGTCCTTCTGGGCGATATTCTGGGTCCGGATGAGCGACGACAGTCGCCGGACATCTCCTTTAAACACACATTCGTGCACTGGAAAGTCCAACCCGGGTTTGATGATGGGGTTTTTGTTTTTGTCATCAATAACATCCGTTGTTGTCAGTGTGTTGTTTGTGTTACCATTATTCTGTGACTGTGTGGATGGCGACTTGATTAACTTGTGGTTGCTGAATATTTTACTCGCCCTGCTCTTGTTGTTCGCCTTGGGGACGGCAAAAGTCCCGGTGGCAGCCTCCTCGTCCGGCTCCAGCAGATCTTCGTCCTTGCTTGGCCTCTGGTCCTTCCGCAGCGAGCGGAGCTTCTCTCCGGTCATTTTCTACACGGTTATCGCTGACGGAGCGGAGGGTGTCGCCACCGACGATGACCCACCGGGCGTACTGATGCGATTCGCCGGTTGTAGCTCCTTACGCAAGCGCTGGAAAATGTACAACATTTAATTTAACAAAAACCCGTCAGACAAAAGATACGGAACCGCCACTCTTCTCGAAGATAACGAAGTGGTAGCGTTGTTTACCGATTTATTGTCTGAACAAACTGCTCCCTACCCTCCCGCCGGCCTGTAAACTGTAGGTGCTGTTCACAGAAGCGTCTCTCCACTTCACAAGTACGAAAGATTCCGCCTTAAAATATCGCGAGAGTTCAGGAAAGGTTACCAACGGTTATTACCACTTTGGTGACTGCAAAGTTGTATTTGCGCCCCTATTAAAATACTGTTTTGTTATGCGGGTTACAAAAAATCTTCTCCCTCAACATTTTTATCATATTATTACTAAAAATTACACAAGATGCAAATTGTCGACTCACGTTCGTAATTATTTTGCCTAAACAGTAAATGAGGTAATTTCGCAGGTTCCATTTTCATTGTTTACAAAGGGCCTTCCAGAGATATTAACTTAAAAATAATAATAATATTAACTCAACGACGGTGGTGGAGCTAGATGGGGGGCCAGGGGTGGTCATAGCCACCCTTAGACAATCATTGGCCACCTAACATTTATTTCCCTCTAATACAGATGGTGGAAACAGTAATACTCTCAAGTAGAATATTCAGAAAAATTAAATTTTTGATATATTAACAATTACTTGACAACGAAAACCCTGTGATTAATTATGCACATCAATATACTAACATTAAAGATAATCACAGAATTCAAGCAGTAATAGATTTAGTGTTTTATGGGTTAAAGAGAAAATTACATCTCTGCAAGTCATCTAGGAGTCTTCAGTGAAATCATTAATAACTTTTAATAAAAACTTATCAAATAATAAATTTATGTAGATATGAGTACTTTTAAATATCAATTTTATGCAGAAGGTTTACTGATAAAAGTACTTGAGTAATGACAATGGAAAAGATGTTCGCCCAAATCTCAAACCTGAAAGAATTTTATCCACTATACCTTTGATTTAGAAAGCAAAGATTTATGAATATATTTGTCTATTTTGTTGGCAAAGGCTGTGAGAAAATATAGTTTATCTTTATTTAGAAAATATGGATGTTTAGTTCATTAAATTTCCGGTTGGAACAGTGTAGATTGACCGAGAGGTTTTGGTGCCTATCTGCTTTTGTCCACCCCTCAGTGTACATTGGTTATTGCCTGGCCCCCCTTATAAAAATGTTATGGCTACGCCTCTGCTCAGGCTAATAAAGAAAGGCGATTCTCCTCTACTGTAGGAACACTTCCAGAACTTCTGGAGATTGCTCACAAAGAAGAATTCTTGAAAAACTTAAGAAAATTATGGAAAACAGTGAGCATCCTCTTCATAAGATTTCTAAACAACAGAGAGTCTTCAGTCAGAGGCTTCTCCAGATGCGGTGCAAGACAGACCGATACAGAAGATCCTTCAAACTCACAACACCATGTTAAAAAATTGCTTATGAATTGCTGCAACATTTAATTTCCATGGATTAATAAGGTATTTTTGAATTGAAGTGAATGTCTTTAGACCTGAGTAAAGCTCCAAACCAGTGAATTCGGAAGTTTAAATCGATAAACATTTGTAAAGAAAAAATGGTAAACAGTTTATTTTTTTCATTTGTTTTAATAGGTGATGAAGAATAAAACCTATGTGAAACATATAAGATGTTTGAGGTTTTGTTGGTTTAGTAACCATTTACTGAAGTTTTTACTTGTAGTCACAGTACTTTGCAAGAATAGACCTGATTAACTTTCCTTGAAGGCTTTTCTTTAAAAGAAACTATATGCACATATAGAAAATTTAAAAATTTTTAAAGAATTTTATGGTTTCTGACTTCTTTTTAACTTGTAATTCACAAATTACTGAAAAGCACGTTTTTCTTATCAAACCCAACGAAATTCAATCACATTTATGGAGTGCATGATATACATTTGAACGGTTTTTGAAGGCAATTGGTTTAACATTATTTTCTTTGGTTTCATCATAATGGAGGTTATGATTAAGGCAACTCTTGTTTTCATTTCGTATACACTCTGTGTATACGAAATAAAATTTCCTTTAGTACAGCTTTGTAGACAGTAAATTAACATTTCCATTCCATAAAGTGCAGCAGTGATAAAATGTAAACAGTGAGGGAGAAAAAAACATGGTGCAAAAAAAAAAACACATTGATGTGGAAGCTTAGAGCATTAATATATATGATTCAAATATGGAATATTTTTGGTTTGGTGTTATCAGTGTGATGCAGAGTCTGTGACATGATTTGGAGATTTGCACATCCACACCAAAGTTTCTTCTTATTTTGTCACTTAAATTTGTCCTATACTTATTTATGGCTCAACTGCATAAAAAAGGATGGCCCACAGGGTCATCCTATCAAAATTATCTGGAATTGGGGTTATAAAGTACAAAGAAATAATAATATTAATGTATTGTAATCACTTTTACCATTTCAGTTAATTCCAGTTCATTTATATAGCTCCAATTCACTTCACATTCTCAATGCAAAACCAAGGGAAAACCAACTGATTGCATAACCTAATTGACTCGAAAGCAGCCCCCAATGCCAAACATGGTTGAGAGAGTAAAACTCCCTTTTAACAGGAAGAAACCTCCAACAGAACCAGGTTCAGTGTGAGCGCCATCCAACGAGGCCGACTGGGGTTCAAGGAGAAAGAAGCAGACATACAGAAAGAAGCAGAGATACAACAGGTAACTGTCAACCAGCTCCACAGGCGGTTCCTGTCATGATCTGGCCTGTTTGCTCTCCCTTAATTAGTAATTCCTATCACCTGCCCTCTTCCTTCCCTGCCTCAATTATAATTTATTCCTCTCACCTGTTTCCTCTAGTTTATATTCAGTTCAGCCTGAGCATTCAGCGCCAGATCATTGCTTGTCTCTCTGTCAGTCTTTCTGTTCAGTTTTTATTTGGTTCATGTCCTGGATCCTAGCTGCCAGTGGAAAGAGGGTTTTAGTGTTTGTCTTGTCTCCTGATTGTCCACTGTTCCTCCCCCGTGGAGTCCTCTGGGTTTTTGGCTCATTATGGGGGGAGGTTCAGTTTTTATCAAAGTAAGCCTGGCTCCAGGGAGGAGACCAGTTTAAAGTCCAGCTTCAAGTTCCGGTTCCTACGTCCTGTCTCGGCTACCCTCTTCTACTGTGCCTGCCTGTCTGCACCTGATCCTGTCTGCTCCTGTGCGTGACCACCTGGTCATGCTTCTGGTCCCAGTCAGACTCTGAACCCTCCTGGAAGCCTGTGGATGCCTGGAAGTCTGGATCATGTCACCTGTCTCTGTTCCTGCCTGATCTGGATCCTGTCTGTTTCTGTCTGTTCCTGTCTGTTCTGGATCCCTCACCTGGATCGGCTTCCAGCATCACCTCTGGGACTGCAGCACTGGGGACACTCGTGGTCTGGACTGTTAAACCAGGTAAGTGACCAACACAGTTAATCTTCTATCAGTTGAACGTGGTCACTTACCTGTGTTTCTCCCCCAGAGTGTCTGCCCCCCCGCCTGCAGTGTCCGCGAGCCACAGCTCCGCTTTTGTTTTGTTTTTATTTTTATAAATCTTTTGAACTTTCCTACTGACTGTCTCTCCTGAATATTGGGTCCATCTGTCCTCGTTTCCTGACAGTTCCATCCAGGAAAGACACAGCCAGGCAGATGAGCTCTGAGCCAGCTGCCATGTTAGAGGTCGAAAGAGAGCACATATAGTTAGTCACAATAAGAGAAACAGGACTACACTGAAAAAACAGGTCAAGCTCCAACATATAAAAAATGTTGGTGTTGATGGCAGCTGATATTTATCTCTGCGATAATATCACAGCCTAACTGGAACAGGGTGACCAGATGCCCTCTTTTTTTCTGGACATGTCCTACTTTTGATACCTAAAAAAATGTCCAGGGGCCAGGGGAATTTCAAAATCGTTTGGGAATTTGGTAGAATAACGTGCAGCAGAACCGAGCCGTGAGCTCTGGGGCTAGTCCAGGAACTCCGGCGGACGGGGGGAGGGAGCCAGATAGAATGAAGCAAAATGATGAAATGGTTCTCCAGCAGACTAAGCCTATAGCAGCATAACTATAGAGAAAGCTCACGATAACCTGAGCCACTCTAACTATACGCTTTATCAACAAGGAAAGTTTGAAACCTACCCTTGAAAGCAGACAGAGTGTCTGCCTCATGGACTAAAACTGGTAGTTGGTTCCACAGGAGAGGAGCCTGATAACTAAAAGGTCTGCCTTCCATTCTTCTTTTGGAAATTCTAGGAACCACTAGTAAGCCTGCAGAATGAGAGTGAAGCCCCCTGTATGGGACATAAGAAATAACCAGATCTCTGATATGACAGAGCTTGGCCATTCAAAGCTTTATATGTGAGAAGGAGGATTTTAAATTCTATTTTGGATTTAACAGGAAGACAATGAAGAGAAGCTAGAATAGGAGAGATACGATCTCTGTTTTTAAAATTCATAAGAACTCTGGGTGCAGCATTTTGGATCGGCTCAATGCTTGTACCTACAGTCTGTGGACTTCCTGAGTGTAAAAAATTACAATAGTCCAGTCTTGCAATTTTCAGAGATGAAAGAAGGAACTTCTAGAAACCTCTTTGATATGGGATTTAAATGACACTTCCTGATTAAAAATAACATCAAGATTTTTTACTTTATCTGAGATCAATTTAATCCCTTCCAGATGAAGTACAATATACTGTATTTATATCAGTCCTGCTTGGTTTGAGCTGAAATGAGCAAAGAGAATCTTTGTTATCTTTGAAAGTGTAGATGTAATAGTTCTTACGGAACACTTCCGCCCCCTGTGGTTCAAATAAGAGTACACGCGGAACTACAGACCTTTCTCCTGGGCTCAATCAGCAACAGTGAGAGGTGCCTTTATTACTCCAAGTGCTTGCATTTATATATATATATATATATATATATATATATATATATATATATATATATATATATAAAAAATATGTAGTATATATCACCATAGAACTGAAATGAAAAATGTTTTTCAAGCGAGACATCCAAACCCTCCTGATTCAAAAAACAAGAATCGTTGCATCATAGCGCCAGGACTGACAGGAGCGCAAACAACGTGCTGTCGTCATAGACATCGGACGCCCCCTATATCTCAACCAATCAGAGCCGCTCTCTGCATGCCACTAAGCGCTGATTGGTTGAGAAGGACGGGCTTGACGAACGGCCCCGTTGAATAGTATTTCCCCCCCACACTATTAACCGCTATGCGCTCCCATCCCGAGTACAGTTCGCGGTGATTTCAGGAAACAACACAGCCATGGCCCAGTCGAACAAAGACGAAACCGACGATTTGTTCGCCGGCTTCCGCACGGCTTTTAAATCTTTCGCCACAGATGCCATACACATCGGCCAGGAGCCGGAGCAGTGGACATCAATGGCTGTAGTGCCGCCGATTTCGCTGTCAACCACCTTCAAACAGCTCTCCCCGGGAAACCACGCTGTAAGTAGCCGGTTAGGAGTCGGTTATTTAAGCCGGAAGGACACGTGGAAGATTCCCATGTTACAGAATCAGCCAATAATTGATCTGTTTACATAAGGCTGTTTTACGCATTAAACATGTTAGATCTGGACTCTAACCTCAGAGCCTTTTTAAACATTGATTTATTGTATTAGAGTGTGCTTCTTGAACCAGAGATATAAACATGCATTAAAGCTATGATCTATATTTTTTATCTATTTCAAACGGTAAATTTAGACAGTTAAACCTTTGTAATTGTTTCAATAATGTTTAAAAGGCTATTTTCTCATTTACTAAGTGTTGTGATCACTGCTTTACAGCTCATGTAAAGCCAAAATGATGGTCCAAAAAACCTAAATCTATAGAAGAAATCAAGCACCCAGCTTTACAACCAACAACTCTATTCACTATTAAAAATGTAAGCTTCTTCCTGCACTAAGAAGCTAAATATATTCCTGTACCAATAATGCATGGTGGTGGTCACATCATGATGGTCTGCTTTGCTGCCAGTGGATTAAACAAAGTGTTTGAATAGTTTATTAGCCTCTACTTAATAAGACTGTTTGGACAAACCCAAATAGACATTAAAACTGCTGTTGGAATAGAAAATAATTATATATAAATATAATATATTATAAACAGCTATACTCTCTGCCACTCTTTTATGCCTCCTAATAAGTTGCATAGTGACTGAGTCTTGCTTTATATTAAAGTTTTTATAAGTGCTTGAAATATCTCAAGCTGTTTAGTGAATCTATTTTTTATGTTTGATTTCAGAAATACACTATTTGTCTTTATATTTATGGAGAAGCATTTATAGTCTAAGAGATAAGAGTGTTTATTTATATATAGCCAGCTGTCAAGCTACCACACTATCATTATTTAAGTTCCTTTTTCAAACTAATAAGATCAGTTTTCTTACTGGATTCACTATATTTATCCATAGGGTTTATCTTACCATGCTGAGTATGTATGTATATAGGCTATTATGTTCTCTTTAAATTGTTACTGCACAGGGAGCCTTTATAAAGGAGCATGTTAACAATCTCATTTGTCCCAATAACTTCTTTGTAATTGTCCTGCAGATTTCCTACACCATCTGTTATCAGTCAGATCTGTTAGTCAAGTGTATGACTGAAGGTTTCTGCAAATCTTTATGCATTCCTTTTATCAGCAACAATACACACATTTACTTGCTGTTTTCTGTTAATGATTACATGGCTTGTTATATGGAAACTTAATTTTCACACCACAAGTTAGGTATTGAGCTTTTGCATTAAAGAAGCACATAAAATAGCTTTCCGTACGGGGAGATTATTACAGTTCTCGTTAACTCTTGTTGGACAGGTCAAGGAATAAAGGTCTGCAGAATGTTATCAGCAAAAACAGAACTTTCCATTCAATTGATATTGTAAATGTTACACACCAAACACATTCCCAGTTAGTCTGCAAATTCAACTACGGTAACTTTTCTTGTGTTAAAACGTGCCTCCAGAGACTCCCTCATTAGCCTGAATCCTTCTATTAATCAAAAACAGCTCCTAGTACGGTAGGTAAAGTAATCTTATTTTTTTTTTTGGTGGTGTTTCTAAAGAAAAGGTCTCTTTTCTCAGAATTGGTAAATGATTGGTGCAAACTAAACAAGGCCTTATAGATATAGGGAAGCATTTCTGCATACAGTTTGTTGTAGATAAAGCTGATAGAGTATTTCTATGTTACAGATGGTGTTTCTCACTTACAGCCACCAATATATTCCCTGAGGATCTACTATAGGCAACCATTTAGAAATACCAGCTGCTGAAATAGTGGAGCTACAATACTAGCCTCAGTACATTTTTTTTTATTTATTTAAAATGTACTCACCATTTAATTGTGATGTTTTTGTCATTGCATGTTCAATGTACAAGTTTCTAGCAATCTAATTATTCCCCTTTTCTTTGCAAAGGGCTTTGAGTACAGTCGGAGTGGAAACCCTACCAGAAACTGTCTGGAGAAGGCTGTGGCAGCGCTGGATGGAGCAAAATACTGTAAGTAACCTGATTATTTAATCACTGCTGCACTTTATGCAATGTAAATGTTCATTTGCTGTTTGAAAAGTGGTGCTAATGGAAATTTAGTTTTGTATAAAGTCTGTATACAAAATCACAACAAAGGTTGTCTAAGTCATTATAAGTCAACAGATTCTGAACTTTCTTATCGGCATTGGAAAAGTTTCCTCTTTGTTTCTATTTACAATAAGAAAGAGGTCAGGGTTGGAAAGACATAAATGCTGATGAAGATTCTCAGTCTTCCAGGTCATAGTCATTCAGTAAAAGTTTTTAAAAAAATCCACCGGACTTGGTTTCCAAAGGTTTGAAGACAGTTCGCTTCCCCTCCAGGAAGCTTTCTCAGACATTTGAATTGAGAAAGCTTCCTGGAGGGGAAGCGAAACGTCTTTAAACCTTTGGAAACCAAGTCCGGTGGATTGTTTTTTAAACTTTTACGGAGAGAAAGACATAAATATAATAATCATTCTCCCCTGTTAGCTCCGTCTTCATCCACAATGGAACGCTGCAGTAGTCGCATTATTGCAGCAGTAGATCTTGGCAACAAGGAGCCACAGAGATTAAATTTGCCGATCCTCAAACCAGACCGCTTCAGGCATCTGGCCACACCTAGAAAACATGTGTGTGAAAGTTATAAACAGGACCTCCCCAGAACTAGCATAAAACAGGGAAATGTCCAGAAACCTTGAAAATTTAGACTAGGATAAAAAATCCCCAACAAAACTATAGAGCAGACCTCTTTTGACTACTTGATTTGCATTGTGCCCCAACCCCACAGGCCTTGCCTTTGCTTCAGGAATTGCAGCCACATTGACCATCACCCATATGCTGAAGAAGGGAGACGGAATCGTCTGCATGGATGATGTATACGGAGGTGAGATGCAACTTTGGGATGCTTGTGTGCGTACATCTGCCATGATGCTGGGAATCTAATGGCTGTGCTTGTTCACTGTAAAGGCACCAACCGATACTTCCAAAGAGTTGCATCTGGATTTGGGCTGGAGACTACCTTTGCTGATTGTACGAAACCTGAGCTGCTGAAGGCTGCCCTGAAACCCAACACCAAAGTAGGTCAAGGATAGATGCAATAAAAAAGAGGATAACTTGCTGTTCTTTAAAATAAAAAATCAAAATTACGGTATCTATATTAATTTATGTCGGTTTTTGTTGTGTTTTTTTTCGCTGATTCAGTGAGTATTAATCAGTACTTAGCATTGTCACCATTAATTTAACCCTAATGTTTATTTTATCTGAGTGTGTTCTGCAATGATGTGCGCTCTTTTCTTAGCTGGTGTGGCTGGAGACTCCAACCAACCCCATGATGAAGGTGGTGGACATCAGAGCCTGCTCCCAGTTGGTGCACGAGCACAACAAAGACATTGTAGTGGTTGTTGACAACACCTTCATGTCGGCTTATTTCCAGGTTTTTATGATTTCCTGCAATCAGATTTCTGTGGATATATCAAGGATCGCTCAATGAGTAACTTGTTTGTTTTTTAACCCTTAGCGCCCTTTGGCTTTGGGAGCTGATATCTGTATGTACTCAGCCACCAAATACATGAACGGTAGGTCATAGACATTGCCTCTATTTAATATCAGAGCTTTTTGTTATTACAAATTGGTAAATATTTTGGACTAGCAGTTGGATAAGGTAGTTAAACAACAAACTGTATAATCGCAGTGCTGTAACATTATCCTTGTTATTCATACTCAGAAATGCTTTGATACTCAAACGTATCCGGATACATAGGGACGGTATCGATACTAAATACAAGTATTTTTTGCATGTTTTTGCTATTGTTAATAGGATGTTTCCAGTTTATTTACAGATTATAATGGTAATTTCTCAAGTATTGTCAAATTGTGTTGTATTTAGGTTTTTATTTCCATTTGTTACTACACTTTTTTAACCAAGAGAATCTGTTGAGAAAGCACGTTCCATTTTGAGATTGAAAAAAGTTAGTTTTTCATGATAATGTGTTTTTATGCCTGTAATTATTTGGGATTTGTTTTTATTCCTGTGGTATCAAAGATGGTATCAAATATTTTCCTGGGTATCAATATCAAGTTTCAAATTTTATTGTGACAACCCTACAGGCTCTGATTGGCCCTGCTTGTTTTGAACAGCAAAAAAATTCAAACCATGGAAATGTCAAAATTGTTAAGGTTAAAACAAACAGAGGCTGCATTTTTTGTTATATTCGAATCACTAATGGAGTTGAACAGAATAGTTTTTCTGTAAGTTTCATATGTCAACAACATGCTAAAGCAGTCCAAAATGACCAAACCTGACTGAAAAGACAGAATTTATTCAATGTGTGCAATCAGTCCAAGGAAAAAAACCTCTGGTAAACATTGAAAATAAATCCAAGCCTCAAAAGCTTCAATTTTAGTTTATTTCATTTGTTAACACATCTATTTTGAAGAGAAAGACTAAATTTATGCTGGTAAAGAAGATGTCACACCGGCATTTGTAAATATTCCCAGTAAGCCAGGACCATTCCTAAGTAAACAGGAAATAAGAAAGGGAAAGTCAACACAAACATATCAGCCACAGTGATGTAACTGTTTTCATTAGGATACAGAACAGCCTTTAGTTTTTAAAACAGAACTGACTTATTGCTGATCGTTATTCTCCGTTTAGTTTTAAAGACTTTTATGCCCTACTGTGCTAAATAGACCAAATAAGACCCAAATCAGGTTGTTAAATAAAACTGAAAATGCTGCATTTGTAAAAGTTTGGAATATATTAACCTTTTACTTGCTTTTATTACATTTTTGAAATAGAGATATAGGGAAAAAAATCACATCTTACTTCCTGTTCTAAAATCCTGTGTTGAATTGGCAGGTCACAGTGATGTGGTGATGGGTCTGGTGTCTGTCAACCGGGAGGATCTGAATGAACGACTGAGGTTTTTGCAAAACGGTGAGAGTATTGAGTATTATGATAAAGTTATGCTTAAATGCTTCTTATTCTGCTTATGTCATGCCTTTTTTTATCTGCAGTTATACATGAACACAGTGATCAAACATAAAAAATTATTAGGAACTATGTTGGTTAATCTAAACACTATAGCTATTGCTGTATTTTTTTCTTTAAAACCATCCTCTGTCTATTAAGGTTTTGGTGAAGTTACTTGTTGAACCTCTCTTGCTTTCATTCAGCAAACAACCAAGAGATATTTCTGAGGTCAAAGTCCTTCACCAAACTAAACCTTTTCATTGTTAGGCTATTGTTCTGTTTGCCTAATCTAGCTCTTTCGGAAGCTTTGTCATTAACCTCCCATTTATTTTCTGCCTGTGATCAGCTATCGGCGGTGTACCGTCTCCCTTCGACTGTTACCTCTGTAACCGTGGCTTGAAGACCCTACACCTGCGCATGGAGCAGCACTTTAAAAATGGCATGGCGGCAGCTAGGTTTCTGGAGGCTGATCCCAGGGTGGAGAAGGTCATTTTCCCAGGTGAATTCCTGTAGCGAGAACCATACTTGATTAGACATGCCCTGATTACAGGGAACTGTTTGAAAGGTATTAAAGAAGCAGCTTAAGAGCAGAAGGCTGTTTAGAAATGCGTCAAATGGGCGTGTTTATACCACAAACCCATGAGAAAGGGTTTTTGCTGTAAATTAATTTTGTAAGCGTTTGTTTAACAGCGGTTGCAATGATGTGTAGCTGGCATTTTCATAAAGTCTGGCTCACAATGATAAGTGCTTTGATGTTCTCACACAAACTGCGGTAACCTTGTGTAATCAGCTCTGGCGGCTCCACTTCATGATCTTCATGCCAGTACACTCTGACTATGACCTTTCATCTTTTTATGCAACTGTAGGTTTGATAACAATTGCATAGTGTCCAATATCAAGGTGCTTATGCCTTTATGCCCTCAGTGAATCATATATTTATGATTCTCCTGTTGTCTGTACTTCTGTGGATTCGGTGTTTTTAAAGCAACAGTATATAACTTTTAGCCACACACAGTTTTTTTTCATTGATAGTAATGAAAACCAAGAACTGTTAGTTTTTATCAATTCTTTATGTATTATTCTTATCCCCATTTACAGCCAGCTTTTATGACATTTCAGTTTTCTGGGTTTACTTTAATACTTCCGAACTTGGATGACTATCACTGATGGAACAATGGAATCCAGATAAGGATTTGAGAAATTTCGTTGCACCCCTGTGGAGCAATGACAAATAAAGAATTCTGATAAGGATGAGGGACAATGTCCAGCCATCAGTTTGTGACCTTAAGCTCAAGCGCACTGGTGTTATGGGGAAGAACAAAGATACATAGAGTGTCAAAAAGTCCAACTCTGAATGGCTCGAAAGAAACAGAATCAAAGATTTAGAGTGGCCTTGTCCAAGTCTTGACTTAAATCCATTTGTTGTAGTGTGGCCTTAAAGGATTCTCATCTTGGTATAATAAAATAAAATAAAAGCTGCTCCATTAAAATGATTCTGTAAAGAGCAGTGAGCCAAAATTCTTACACGCTGATGTAAGAGACTTGCTTTCAGTTACTGCAAACTCCTGATGTCAGCTGTTGCTGCCAGGCTGATTTTGGTTTCTCTCCATTTAAATGAGAGAAGAAAAAAAACGTGTTGAAACTGAAGCTCAAGTTCTCCTACTTGATGACAGGGCCAGTAACGCTGTACAACAGCCCCCTCTAGTGCTGCAGATAGGACGTTCGCACACCTCGGTGCGATGAGTTTTAACAGCATGGGGTTCATGTTTACACAGCACATCCCTTATGTATATGAGCAAATAAGGAGGTAAATGTTACTGCAGCTGTTACACTCACTGTGCGGAAAGGCGCTTGGAAGAAAGCCAAGATGTCAGTCAAAGGGCCGAAGCTGTCATAAAAATGAGCCCATCCTCCGTAATTTGATCATAACGGCTGCACATTTGAGCAAAGCACCCTGCCACTCTTGGATATCCTGGCAAGAACCCTGCAATGATGACAAGTGGTACGCAAGTCTTCATTTAAACTAAAGGGCACACAGATTTTTCTTGCACAGATGCAAGAAAAAAGTGTGACTATCTGCCAAATATCGGGTATCTGATGTGTCGGTCTGTAGAAACCGGGGAGATACAGTGAACTTAACTCTGACAGTGATTTACTAGAGGGGACAGTACAGCTAGGAACACAAGTATGGAGTTGTGTCTATCAGTTCATCTGATCCGTTTAAGTAGAAGCATCCAAGCATTGTTACAGGTTATTTAGGACTCAGTTTAAAACAAGAAGTCGATTAAAAAACATCCTTTTTCCTTTACAGGGATATTATATGGTTTTAATGGCTATTTTATCATGTTTTTTCTTCTCATTTTAGGCCTCCCATCCCACCCGCAGTATGAGGTGATGAAGAAACAATGCACAGGGTGTCCAGGGATGATTACCTTCTACATTAAGGGAAAACTCGAGCACGCCACCACCTTCCTCAGCAACCTTAAAGTAATATATAGAGGATTTTTTTCAAACTGGATTGGGTGGAAAGGAATAAAATGCTTGTGAGTGTGGAAGAGGTCCAAGACATATGAAATCAGCAATTCTAATGAGAATTAAGTCATCATTTAAAGTATTATCTCTTTAGATAGAGTTAATCTTAATCAGCATGGGAGCTAATCTCATTATTGTATAGCATGTAAACACAGATGTTCTTACAAAAAATGCAATTTAATTGTGCTTTGAATTATGCACTTTGTTTAGCATTTTCTTAATTATGGAGGAAATTTCATTATAGTATTTTCTGCTTAAGGTTAAGCACCATGTATCTTTTTTTATCTGTTTGTAGATGCTTTAAATATATGCTTCTATGGTGCATTCCACTTCATGTCTGTTTGTTTTCAGATGTTTGCAGTTGCAGAAAGCCTTGGTGGTTATGAAAGTTTAGCTGAACACCCGTAAGTATCCCCTGGTTTTGGTCTTAAATATAAATTTTAATAGATTGTAGTGTTAAGCATTTATAGTGGAAGATAAACTGCAGTTGGGAATTATGTCACAAGAGGGCAGCAGATATAAAGAAATAAAAAATCTTTGCCTTCACAGTTCTGTTTTCATTCAGAACCACTGGATCAGTTTTGTTGTTGTTGCTTTATCCAGCTTGTGTGCCGCTAACCAAGGGCGTAGGTTTGATTTGAACTTCGGTGGGGACACTATTGGTCGGGTGTCATTGGTGCTGCAATATGCGTGCCCTTTTTTATGCCCGATGTGAGCATCCGTACTGATAAGACGAATTCATTGTTAAAAGAGAAAAGCATCATTTTGCTACATTAATAAAATTTTTATAAGCACTACACTCATTAGATGCTGTTTATCAATGTTTGAAGTATCACCGGCTCTGATGAATGTGGAATTAGGACTGTTTTCCACTTTGTAAATGGATTCATTTGCATGACTAAGAGAGAAGGTAAATACAGTATTTTCTTTTGAAGATATACAATTGTGCAGAGTTAAACCCCACTCTTATATTTTACCTACTATTCTCTCTCTGTATCAAGCAAAATAATACATTCATTAAAATATTAACTTCACTATAAACGTTGAACATCTGGGCTGTAGTTACTCTGTGTAGCCCATTTCATGTATTTTATCTGGGGCTGAAAAAAATGAATCAAATTAATTGATTATTTCAATAATCGTCAACTAATTTAGTATGTGATTAATCATTAACTGGAGAATGGAGACTATAAAACATAATATAAATGTAAAATGTCCCTTTCCCCTACAGAGCAATCCACTTAGATCAGTAATTATACCAAAATTGTAAAAATACAATATATATATATATATATATATATATATATATACACACACATATATATACATATATATAAAATGTTTTGTCTGTCAATATTCTCCATCCAGAACTCCTCGTGTGGAAATACTTTAGTTTCACCTGGTTTATTTAGACATCACCTGAAGCACTGAAGGGCCAGCTGCTTCACCTACAAGCTGCCCTGCGTCATTATTACTGGATATCTGTGTTTCCTATAATCATATAATGTATAAGTGCAATTTTAATAGTAAATGATTAAATGTAACACAAGCTTTTATCATTGTCCTATATTGCTTACTGTCTGACTGTTTAAATAGCTCCTTACTGTATGTCTATTTTCTTTTTTAGTGGCATCATCTACAAACACAACACTAAGAATGAGCCTAATTGTACCGTATTCAAATATAAAATAATTTTTAACAATTATAAAAGACAATATAACACTATCTTATCTGTAATTTAACATTATCCAAAATAAACAGCCAGATTCAAGCATTTTTACCAGACATTAATGTTTGTACTAATTTACTTATAGACTGTGTGGAAATCTATGTAAGATAAAATCAATGTTTATATTCTTCCTTTGTTTGTTCTTGTCTTTATCCTATTTCTAGCAGTATAAATAGTCAATAAAATAGAACTATTATTATGTGGAACCCTAATTATGCTTTTTAAACGAAAAACAGCAGATGTTTAGACGCCATTTCTTGTTGTTGTACTGTATAAGAGAAATAACACCTGCTAATAATTATACCTGAACTTTCTCAAAGAGTCATAAAAAAATGAAAACAGTAATAGCAACTAAATATCGGTAAAAAGGAAACACTCACTTTTTCTTTTTTAGTTGGCTGTGGCTAAGAATCAGAAATGTTGATGGCTTGCAGCCTTTATTTGCCCATTTTGTGTCTTCAGAACTCCTGGCTGACTCAGAATATTTCGCTTTTTAAAAGAAAAAAAAAGGTTTTTGTGTACATGATATTCATTTTTTTTAATTGGGACTAGTTTTGTAGCCTAATATTTATTGTAGTAACCACTGCATTCTAGTGTGAATAAATTTTCAATTTTGTGCTCCAAGCACACCAGGACTAGAAAACAGCCAATCAGAGAGAGAGAAGGCGGAACCTAAGGCAGAACAACCAATGAGAGTGGAGTTAAACAGCGCAGCACAGTTGCATGCGCTGCTGCATGAAAGGGACAGGAGAAACCAGGCAGAGGAGCTGCGAGAGTTATAAACATGTTGCTCACATCCAATTATTGGTAGGGACAATTAGGTCGGTTCAAAATTTTGGTAGGGACATGTCCCTATGGTCCCTATGCAAACCTACGCCCATGCCGCTAACACTGCTTTCTATTTGATCCCAGAGCAATCATGACCCATGCATCGGTGCCTGAGAAGGAGAGGGCTACTCTGGGGATCAGTGACACACTGATCCGACTCTCAGTGGGACTGGAGGACGCAGCTGACATCATTGAAGACCTTGACCAGGCTCTGAACGCTGCCGTAAGTATCAGTTGCCATGAAAACACCAGAAAGTCCTCAGTTTCATTGTTCAGTTCTATTAGATTTCCCAAAGTGTCTAAAGCTTAAATAGTCTCCTCCTGGGTCGAAGCTAGAAATCAAGTAGCAGGATGCAGTACAGCAAAAATACAGTTGGCTGTTGTTACCTTTGCATTTTCTATATGCAATAAGCATTTAACACCCAATTTATTGTAAAGAACTTCCACTTTTAGATACCATTTGTGCTGACTTATGTTAGTGAATAGTTAGTTACTATTGTGAATATAGAGTGATAAATTTTAGCGAGACACTATAAAACCTGAGAAGCCAAATCACCTAATGAGAGCAAGTATAAAACTGTTTACTTGAGAGGCAGACTTAACTGACTCATATCAAACTAACAATTTGCAGTAAAAAGGCTGCGGTGTATTAATTTACATAAAATAATGTACAATACTACTCATATCTTCAGACATTTGGTCATAGTACGAATCTTCAGTCTGCTTAGAGAGTGACAGCGCTGTATTTATTTATTTTATTTTTATTAAACCTTTATTTTACCAGGAAGTCCCTTGAGATAAAATCTCTTTTTCAAGTGAGACCTGGCCAAGAGGCAGCAGTACAGTAAGACATATAAGAACACAGGACAACATAATAAAATCAATCATAAACTAGACGCTAGAATAACAGGTACAATTCTCTGTGCAAGCGGTTTTCAATAGTGATTTAAAATGTAGGTTTGGGGGAGCAGCTCAAAGAGGGTGTCAGTATTATTTTCTAAAGATCCTCTATGGGCACCAAAATTTGAAAATTACTTAGTTCTGCTTAAATTTTTTTAATTTGCAAGAGTTAGAACATTATTAGATTATTGAATTTATGACATAAAGAATTGTTCACATGACTGTGTTAAGAGCAGGTATTGGTTGCTAAAATGTATCCAAGCGGTCTCTTTCTCCATCCATCAATCCATCCATCCATCCATCCATCCATCCATCCATCCATCCATCCATCCATCCATCCATCCATCCATCCATCCATCCATCCATCCATCCATCCATCCATTTCTTATTAACTTAAGTTTAATCGGTTAATAGAGAGAGATTTATTGTTACATATTTTCAGGAATGTAGTTATAATAATATTTTGGATGGTTTTAGTAATTTCTTTACTTTTGTATGTGCAAGCACTTTGTCTTAAGAAAAAAGGTTAGAAGCCCCTGGTGTATTAAGTGTCATTTAGTGCAAAGAAGTCGTAAAAATGAAGAAAAATCAGGTAATAACATGTTGGGAATATTTACAGAAAGACGGTCGTGGAGGAATAATAAATCATAGCTGTGTTAGGTGTGCAAAAAATCTGTGCTTTACTCTGTGTTGCATCCAGTGCAATATATGTCGAAAGACACTCCTCATTCTCCTCATAAAAACTGCTAGATTAATAGTGTGAAAGCTGCAGGCATTCTGACTATAATGCCCCTCTTTCTACACTTTTTGGACCTCTACCCCTGCTGCAGTTTCTGTGCTATTTCAGCCATTCCAGTTTATAGTTATTCTGCTACCACAGGGCATGGGCCACTGCCAGTTTTACACTTTTTAAATGATCTCACTTTTTAAAATCCCCTTAAAATGAATGGTGTTGTAAAACCTTTAAATGCTTTTATAGCTCGCTCATTGCTGAATCCCACATAATGCTGCATACTTCCACCCAGAAACGCATTAATTTGCAGATGATGACAAAGCCTTGGGTTATTCCCAAATGATTCGGCTTCTTATTGTCTTCCTCCGTTTCCATCAAATCCCTGTTAAAGGCAATTGTATTTCTGGGCTCAGAGTCAATAACTGAACCAATCGAATGACCCCCTCCTAGCTCTGCCTCTTCATAGTCCCTGATAGTAGGTTGCTAAACATGCTTTTTTTTTTCCACAGTTGGGGTGAATCTTGGGACCCCAAATGACAAAGTGTTGAAAACATAATAATCTGGGTTAGACAATAACACAAACACATTGAGATGATGATAGCATTTTGCTAACAAGAACCTTCAGGCTTTCAGTTCTGTAATGCTTTATTATTGCTTTTTCTTCAAAATGTTATTTTTCAAAAGCGCTCTTTGCAGTGATGTCAGCTTATGTTATTTCATTTAAGTTTTTACTTTCTATTGAAGTTGATCTGCTTGTGGTTTTCCTTTTATTTCTGTTTAGCGATTTTTCACATTTCAGTTTGTTGTTTCTTTAGCTGCTGACCTCAACTTTTCTCCCTCAGCTGTCTGCATAAAACACACTTTATTTTCTGTTGTAGCGAATGTAATTTTTCTGATTCTTCTTAATGTTCCTTAAGTTAAAATTAGAACATCAATGCTTTTAAATTAGATCCTCAGTTAATAAAGAATGTATTTAGTTAACTATCTTCCAGGGAATGCAGGATAATATTGGTTACCAATAATTATTAGGCGATAATGGACAACTATGTCCTCAAACTGTTAAATAGATTAAAATCTCAACAATAATTAGGACCAATAATAAACTGCTTGATTCTGGAGCATTTGCTCTCCGCCCCTACTACAAGCTTCTGTCGCATGTATTGATGTCACATTACTGCACTTGCCTTAAGAACACTGAAACAACATGGCGCTATGAGACTGAGCTGTGAGAAGAGGGAGATGCTGCTTTTTATAAAAAATAATCTACTGATTGGACCTTAGTTAAACAAGAATAATGATAAATGACACATTTTTTTGCCGTAGTATTATTCCTTTTTGGCATTCTGGATTGTAAAACCACAGTTGCTGTTTTTGTGTTAAAAATCAAGGTTATTTATGAGGAGGCATTATTTCCTATTTCTCAGGAAATGCAATGTTGCCATTTCAACTTACTTCTATTCATTTTACATCCTTTCCAGATCCAATTGTTTGACAGCTTGTCAGGGGATGTTATTATTGCTGAGAATAACAACTACAATTTGATTTTGTACAGTTAAGGTTTTTTTTTTGCTATAAATAATATTGCTGCAGGTTTATTTTGGTAAAATGAAAGCTATATATATTATTAATTGGTTTACCTGTATATCTAGTGTTTTATATCAGTTATCAGCCACAAGAAACAGGAAATTATCGCTTGAGAAAAGCCATTATCATACATCCTTACTGTCTGCATCCAAGTTCATCTTGTAGACGTTATCCAAATGTTTTTTATTTTTCCCTCAATCCCTTCATGAAGTAGCTGGTTTCATAATCTCTTCTATTGCACCTCTTTCCTCAGTGATTTACTAGGATCTCCTATCAAATCCATTTAAATTAAATTGTTAATATTTTATTTTGTGGATGAGGATAATAAATCTGAGTCCCTGTGTGTTTTTATATTAAAAAAAGTAGTTAAATGAATCTCACAGTCTGTTTCTATTCATTTCAACCCATGATGGTTGATATTCTTCCGCATTAAAAGTTACCAACTGAAATTAGTGCTCTGGTTTGGATAATTCAACTCTTTTTACCAGCTACTGTGTCTTTGACCCTTTGGAGGGGATTTAATTGTCTTCAAACCTCCTGTGTGGCTTCCTTTGCTGCTCGACTGCCTGTACATCCTTTCAGCATTCAGTTAATGTAGCTGCAGCCCTTCTCTGGCAATCTGTTACAAATAGAAATGTTACAAATTGAGGCAAATATATCTCCTGACTTCTATGGTGCCAGGTAAAAGGTTCCTCTGATGAGTGAACGTCTTAATTAGATATGACTCCCGAGTCAAGTGGTCCTTATCTAAGGATCTCAAGCAGAAACCTGGAGGTTGGATAATCATGTAGAGCTCTGTAGAGGTTTGTGGAATTTATATCAGAGTTATTGTTTTCCACCTTCTCTGTGGTTTGTCCTTTCCTAATCAGTCAGTTATCGTGGAATGCCTGGCATTTCTCCTGGCAGCCCCTGTGGTTCATTAAGACAAGGTGACTGATTTTGTTGATTAGACTTTCCTGTCCTGCTCCATGGGACATTATGAGCCTTCAGATGTAACTTGATATGTCTGTCTTTAAATGTCTCTAAAATCATAAGATATTGATCTCAGTGTGTTTCCTCTTTGTCTCTGATAGCATCCGAAGAAGAATTGAAACCTCCACTTCCTGTCCTCTGGGCTGGGGTCGTAGTAGAGACGATTCTAGGAGTTCCTGAAGTCTAAACAGCTTTCATGATCAACACTTGGTATCTTGGTTCCACCTTTCTGGGAACAAAATGTTTTGAGCACAGTACAAACTATGTCATCAGTGAATAATTATTACATGATTGTTTGATGCCTTTGCTATAAAAACACTTATAACCTTATTTATCTGATACCATTTTCTTTGTTTACATATTTGTCTTTTTTTTTCTTTAAAAGCTTTATAAGGGAAAAATCCCATTTAGACCAAATCAAATGGTTTCAGTTTCTTAACTACAAAACGTGCTTTTGCAAGTGAAATCTGTATCAAAGTGTTTTGCTAAAGGTAAAGAGCAAGGAAGAAGAAATGCAGCAAAGATCTCCAATATAAATTTGTATCATGGAACAAGGTTCCGCTCATGGGTTGCACTCTATCCCACCCTGCCCCACGCAGCATTGCTATTAAAATTGGTTTTATAGTGCACACTTGTAACTTGTTTTGTTGTGAAACCTTTTTTTTTTTTATGTCACCTTAAGATCAAAGGCAGCAACTTTTACATTTACACAGGTTCCTATTGAAGCGATGCAAATCTTCATATACCCAGGAAAAGAAATGGATCTGGGTGTTTTTAGCCAATGAAAGAAGATAAAGTAATCGAATGTGCTACCAATATGAGTTACTACCTTCATTTGAGTACATTTTCTCAGCATTGACTTACTGTTAATGAGATTTTAAAGACAGCAGTTTTTTTTTTCTGTTCTCTCACGGTTGTCCTTTTGGTTAATGTGAAAAGCAAGATTTTTCCAAAATATCAAGACTCATTATTTTTTATCCATTCTTCAGTTGTTTATTGAGGGGATCCATTAAAATCTATTTGGAATAAAAGCCATTGAGTTTTTTTTTTCTTCCTACCTGACTCTCCTGACCAGTTCTATGATTAGAAGTTCAGCCTCATGAAAACATAGGTATTTCATAGAGCTTTCCCTACAGGAAGAATACGGATTGACTAGTTATGAAACATCAGTTTCCTGTCACCTTTAAAAGGGGAAATTCTTTCAAGGCAAACATGTCCAACAGTTTGCAAATCTATCTAATTCTATTTATTTACAGTGAACATCAACAATGCAAAACATATTTCATCTTAGGGTACTTAAGAGAGACAAATAAATAAAATGATACAGCACAATGGGAGAAAAGCTTTTAATCTCAGGAAAACCAGAAAACCTGTCATCGATTCTGCAGCAATTCTTCATATAGAGGGAGAGGAAAAACTCTAGCTCTGTGCAGAAAATCAGTGGATGAGCGAATGTAAACCTCTAGAAATGTCTTATAATTTAGCCATTAAATATTACTATTAATGGCATCCACATGAAGCGACTGACTAATTAGCTTCTTTTTTTAAAGACTTTGGTCAAAAGACAGCAACTTCTGTCTTGTCTGGATTTAAAACCAAAAACTTTGAAGTCATCCAGGTTTTGATGTCCTCAAGAAATGCCTGTAGTCTATGTAACGATCTAGCTTCATCAGGAACTATGGAGTATCATAAGTGAAAATCGATCAAATGCTTGTCTGATAATTTCATCAACTGGGAGCATATATAGTGAAGAGAACTGACTTTAGTACTGATCCCTGTGATACTCCACAAGTTACCCCAGAACTTGAAAAGTATTTAATTGACATGAACAACTTGGAATCTGTTGAACAAATATGACTTAAGCCAGTCTGGTGCTGGTCCCTTAATTTCTGCAGCACCTTCATACCTTAATGTGTGACTGTATCAAATCCAGCACTGTGATCTAAGATATCTTATATGTGTACTAACAACTACAGATATAAGACTATAATTTGAGGCAACAAAATACTACAAGTCACTTTAACCAGTGTTGTTTCAGTGCTATGATGAAGATTGGTTTTAGGTCTATAATTTATCAAGACATTTGGATTGACAGCAGGTTTCTTAAGTTAAAGTTTTAATTACAGCTTCCTTGAAAGCCTTCAGTATATATCCCTGTAACAGGGACAGATTAATCATATCTAAAATGTTGCTGGGAATCATAGATAGATAGAGATAGGTACTCTATTAATCCCCGGTAGGTGAAATTCACCTGCCCTATAGCAAAGATAAAATCATATAAAATAGGATAAAGAAAAATTAGACTAAAATAAATATTAATAAAGCAGTCAGTCCTTCAAGATGCATTAGACTGTATAATGGTGCTGGGACAAACAATCTTCTGTAGCTCTCTGTTCTGCTTCTCACAAAAATCAGTCTTGAACATGGCTGCTTTCCTGAGCCACTTTTTCCTGATAGTACTGTGCAATGGATGGCTCCCATTGGCCCTTATGGACTTCATTATTGCCCTAGTCCTTTTCTCCACCAGTTCCTCCATAGGGACTGCCTCTCTCCCCATCACTGCAGCACACCTCCTGATTACTTGTCTATTCTACTCCTGTCCCAGCTAGTAATGCTGTTTCCCCAGTTGAATACCGCAAACAGAACAGCGCTGGCCACCACTGACTGATAAAAGAGGAAAAGTATATCCCTACACACATCAAACAACTTAAGTCTTCTAAGGAAGTAGTCTGCTTTGCCCCTTTTTGTATGCAGCATTTCCCTGCACCGACAAGTCCAACTTATTGTCAAGGTGGACTCTGAGGTGGTATGGAGACCACCTCGATTTTGAGATCGTCCATAATGACAGGTCTATGTAAAGCTCTTCTCTTGCTAAAGTCGACAATGATCTCCTTTCTTTGGCCAGTGTTTAACACCAGCTCCTTATTCTTTCCACTGTGAGATCTCGTGGGACCCTTTTGATCTAGTATTTGTTTTGATTTTCTCTTTGTGTCACCCTGTTCCTTTCAGTTATCCCTCAAGTTATAAAATTATAAAGTTATAAATCCAATTTAAAATTTAGTTAATCGTACTTACTGTCATTATTTTGTATTTTTTTTAATGCTAGTCTACAAGCATCCTCATTCACATGTTCACCTAAATTTTCACATTATGTAATCGTAATATTTACTTACTGCATCTAAAAAATATCAAACATCTTTTCATATAAATTAAGATTTAAAATAATACAATATAATATAGAGTTGCTTTAATTATAGTGTTACTAGGTCATCAAATCAGTGTTAAGTTTGGTCTGACAAAAGGGCCGCATGTGGGGATTTTATAAGTCCAGCAGGTGTCAGTATTGAGTGACAGTATCAACATTTTGGCAGTGTGTTGAAATGCTTCACGATGCCTCATCAACCCATCACTACCAGTTTCCTATTAATGAAGGCCTTCTTTTTCAAGGGGCTATGTTCTCCAAAGGAATGCGCAGAGAAAAGGGAATAGATCTGAAATTTGTTAGTGCATTATGTGATAATGATGTGCAAAATTAAAACCTTTTATTGGGGAGAAGAACTCTATTTGATTCAGTTTAAAGGTTACTGAAAATTGGATAGTGTTGGATAGCGTTGTGAGGAAATACTTTTTTTGCCTTACCATTAATGCCAAAATAGTAGGTCCAAAGTATGAAGATGAGAATGCAGGAGTCTATGCACATTTTGAACAAAGCCAATCAAGTCTAAGATAGCATTAAAGGTTGCATTTAGGTCATCACCTTCAATGTTGACATGAATGGTAAAATCCCTGTCAATGCCTTTGTCAATATTTCAAACAAAATCATATACAAAGTCTGAAATCTGATTTAAAAATTGAGAGTAAGGGCATGGTAGATGATACAAATTTGCAAACATAAGTGTTTTTTTTTTTGTTCACAATTTGAATGGGGAAACTATGAGTTAAATGTTCAAAAGAATTGTAACTACTGTATTTATTGGCTTTGTACTAATCAATGATATATGACAGAAAGACTACCGCTCTTCACCCAAAATCTCTGGGCATGTGAAAATACAAATAGCTCCCTTCATTCATCTGAACACAACCCTCTTGCTGCAGGCAGGTTTCTGAAAGAAAACAAAATGTATTACAAACAAGTAATGAACTAACAAGCTCTATGAACAGAGAGATCTAATGTTTCACAATTCACTTTTGAGTGTTTTAACCATCTTAAGGCAACCCTGCATACTAGCCTAGCTGTTAAAAAGCAAGTATAATTATTTGTCACATTAGTTTAGGGGTAAAAATATATAGGAGCAAAAAGATAGTAGTTTGAAATACATTTATTTTCAAAACTGAATTTTAGGATCTCTAAACGTTAGTTCCACTCAACCAGGTCAAATAACGTCACTGCATTGGGTAAAGAACCATCTCTAAGCTTAGATTAGCTTGAGACTGAGCAGAGCAGATGAAAAATGTGTGAATATTGAAAAGCAAGTGACAAATCTGTAATAAAACCATTCTGTCCTTCATAAATAATTTCAGGAAGGACATTTTCAAGGTTTTTCTAAGACGTTGACAAAACCATAACATCGACATTAATGAGAGATAACATGTGCATTAAGCTTTTTAACAAACAACGGACTAACAACTAAAATATTCAATCTTCGAAGAAAGGAATCCATTTCAGTTGTATTAGGAGTCTGCAGATAACCGGCTTCCTCCCACGGTCCAAAAACATGACTGTTAGGTTAATTGGCATCTCTAAATTGTCCTTACATGTGAGTGTGTGTGTGAATGGTTGTGTGTCAGTGTTGCCCTGCGATGGACTGGCAACTTGTCCAGGTTGAACCGTGCCTTTCGCCCATAGACTGCGGAAGATAGGCGCCAATCCCAATGCAACTCTGGCAGATGAAGCAAGAGAAGATGGATAGATGGATGTTGCAGGGTCAGAGACTAGATTTCCCTGGGGGGTCTTAGGTCTGTAAGATAAAATGTGCTTGTAATGAACCAGACTCAGGACCGAATATTCAACCAAACAACCAGAAACATTCAAAAAATATACTAAAATCAGCAAAGAAATCAGGAACCAAATTAGCAGCCGGAACAGGAACCTCTGAGGAAGAGATATCAAGTTAGTGACTGGGTCGGCTCTCAATTTGATCTGAGAAAACAGAAATAAAGCCACTAGCCTTCAAAAAATGTAGGAACGAGGAAACTAAAATGTGCTAAACTCAGTGATGATGTCACTGGTAGATTGTACTTCTTTGAGGGAGAGGGTGCTGCTCACAAGAACAGATAAGGACAGGGTAGCAATCAGGAACTCACTTAGAGGCAGTCTCCATCTTGTTATCCGAGTGAAAAAACAGAACTCGGTCATTGGCAGGGACACTGTCAGAGCAAGGGGGCTAGATTCAGGTTGAGGTATCTAAAGGGAAGGCGGCAATCGATAGTGGGAGTTAAAAGGTCAGATACGTGTTCAGAAATCAGAAAGCTTAGAGTAGGCTTGAGAGGGCAATGCAAAGGTGTGAATCCCATGAGGCAAATGCAAGGTCAGGATGACGCAATCAGGTATGGAAGGACTGCTAGACATCTAATCGCCTTTTAATTAATCTGGCAACGGTAACCTGTTTAAGGGTGTGGTTAAATAGGC